GTACAAAAAAATCCGGGCAAGAACTGAAACGTAATTTACTACTCGAAACGTACTCTAATAATTTCTACTATTATGAAGCCTGTTTATTTATTTTACCAACTTTATTTTAAAGAATTTTTAAATTAAACTTTAATTAAAAAATTAAAAAAATTTCAAAGGATTCTCAACAATATTGTTATTCAATGTTTAATGGAATGCCGGGGGTTGGTTGTAATCCTCTACAATTTACTCCTACTATAGATGCTACAAGTTGTTGTTCTTCATCTGCTGCTTCTTCATCTACATCTGCACCAATTACTTCCTTCTTTTCTTCACTTTCAAATGAAAATGATGATAACCACAACCACCAAAAACAACAACTTGATCTTAAAAGAAATTCTAATAAAAATATTTCCACACAACATTTCTTAGCTTCACCTGCCGGTAGTTCTTCTGCTAGTGGATCCTCTTCTGCTGGAATTCCCCATTTTAATGGGCAAATGTCAATTAGTGGACATCCTCACAATCATCAACACAGACAAAATCATTTACAACAAAAGAAAGTAGCTACTAATGGAGGGGAGAGAATTCAAGATGAACGTGTTAAACGGCCAATGAAGTAATTTATAGAAGAATTACTTAAAATTTATTTTTTAATTTATTAGCGCTTTTATGGTTTGGTCAAGAGGACAACGTAAAAAAATGGCAATTGAAAATCCAAAAATGCACAACTCAGAGATCTCTAAAAGATTGGGTGAAGAATGGAAACGTCTTGAAGAGGAAGCTAAACGGCCATTTATTGATGAGGCTAAACGACTACGTAATGAACATATGCAGGACCATCCTGTAAATATTAATAAATAAAAAACTAGAAATTATGAAAAAAATATTAAATATTCTAAAAATAATTAGCCTCAAATTTTAATTTGTTCCCCCACTGGAAAACCTATTTATATTTAAAAATAAAAATAATTTTTTAAAAGGATTATAAATATCGACCACGTCGAAAAGCTAAGCATATTCAACAACATCAATCACACAATCAATCCAAAAAAAGTCAACATGCAGCAGCTATGGCAGCTGCAGCTTTACAAATTCATCAGGGAGCACATCAAAGACAACAACACACACAACAACAAAATACACAACAATCTTCAATGTTAATTAATGGTGTTTCTAACCAAATGGGAGGTGGTGATAGTGTATTAATGGCTGCAGCTTTTGATGCACTTAAATGCTTGCCCCAATCAGTAAAATAAATTTTAATAAAAAAATATTTTTGATAGGCTCCCTATACTTTATGACCTCTCAATTTTTAATTAAATAATAAACATGCCTAGTGACTTTCAAAAGTTTCAATTTAATGCCTATCACAATTTTGGTTATAGCTAAAATATTTTTACATAAACCAACTTTTTTAATAAACAATGAATATTAACCCAAAATAATTCTTCCAATTTTTCTCTTATTTTTTTACCGACAAAATTACACAGATGTTCACACATTTACAACAAAATTATTCATCGATAAAAGATGGGGGGGGGGGGGGTGCTTAAGTATAGGGTTAAATATGTGTAGTAAATAAATTTTTGTCACCATATTAAAAGACAATTTAAGAAAGCGAGCATATTTTTTCTAGATAAAATGTTGCTTAATTTTAATGTTTCAAAATTTGTGGATTAATATTCGAAAATATTTTTAAATAAATTAAAAATAATAAGCAAAAAATATGGAATTAAAAGATGATTAAAATTTTAAACTTTTTAAGGTTTATCACCCAAATGCCATTGGATGGAACGGACAACACAGTCCGGGAGGTCAACCATCGCCTTATGCAGGTATGGATCCATATCAAGCTGCATTTTCTGCCTATGGAATGATTTCAAATCCTTACTTTATGGCAAATGCTGGCAGTCAGACACAACTTTACGGGCAAGATAGCCACCATGCTGCACTCTACGAGCAACATCAAGGAAACGGGGCCTTTGGACCCGTGATTAAAGTAAGAATGCTTGCCTTCTATTTAATAAACATTTTAATATTTAGTCGGAATGTTCTGATCTTCTTTCTGCTGGAAGGCCAGGCGAAGAAACTTTTTCAATGGGTACTAATCAACTTCAGCAAATTGGATCTGCAAGTGGTTTGGATCTTCAATCTTTATTAAGATGGTCAGGAAGTGGGGGTAATGCTGGTGGAATGATGCAAACTGATCCAGCTATGGCTGCAGCGTCTCAAATGCTCAATAAACACCATGAAAGTAATCCTTCAGCTGAATCAACAGCTGCAATGCCGTTGTGTTGGCCACAGGCAGCACTTTGGGGTGGAGGAGAGCAAACACAAAATGGAGATCCACATCAACAATGACTTTGGAAGTGTGAGGAAATTTGAAGAAAATAAAATACGAGAACAATTTTAAATAATTTTTTTGATAAACTTCAATAAACTTTTTATTCGTTCAATTCCTCAATTTTAATCTGCCGTCCAGCTACATATTTGCCGCAAATTTCCACTCATTTTACATTTTTTATTTTAAGCATTTGTGACTGCTGATTAAATTCATGTCAATCCCCCCAAAATATCCCTAAAATAAAGTTTTTTTAAACATTTAATTGTTTCTTTCCCTCTCGCTACCATATCTTTTTAATTTTAAATAAAATTAAGCTAATTAATCACATTTCAATGCATTAATCATTTGTACACAAATAAAGCTTTAGAAATGAAAATGATAAATATAAATTTTAATAAAATTTTGACTTGTTAACCAATTTAAAAACGTCGTTTTAATTCTAAATTTAATTCTAAATAATTAAAACCGTGTTTTAAAATGGTTTGTGCCGATAGCTTAGAGGTTTGGCGCCGAGTTTGGTCTATTTTGCTTCATAGAAACCCTCGTATCAACCAATTCATAAAAAGAATGTTAAAGGAATTCTACGATTGGAAGAAATTGTAAGAGAAAACTATAATTCTCCGACTGATTGCATAAGGTGTTATGGGGTACTACATAAGTAATTATTTAATTAAGAATAATTATTTAGGGGTAAAGGTAGTCGTCGAAGGGCAATCTATCTTAATCGAGAAGCAAACTTACAACATATTTTCGCTGAATTCGAACAGAATCTCAGAACCCTCTCAATTATCTCAACAATTTCTTGCCGATTAGCACAACATTAAATTTCTTTTTAAAAAGCTCTGAATACTGTAAAATTGGGCGCTCCGACACGGGCACAGCGGAGCAGGACGAATAGGCGCGGCCGAATAGGCGCGGACGAATAGGCGCGGCCGAATAGGCGCCGAGACAAATAGGCGCGAGACGAATAGGCGCGGGACGAATAGGCGCCCCAAGTTATTTTTTCCCAGGAAATTTTTTTGTTCTGATGTTCTGATTTTTTTGTTCTGATGTTCTGATTTTTTGTTCTGATTTTTTTGTTCTGATGTTCTGATTTTTTGTTCTGATTTTCTGATTTTTTTGTTCTGATGTTCTGATTTTTTTGTTCTGATTTTTTTGTTCTGATGTTCTGATTTTTTTGTTCTGATGTTCTGATTTTTTGTTCTGATTTTTTTGTTCTGATGTTCTGATTTTTTGTTCTGATTTTTTTGTTCTGATGTTCTGATTTTTTGTTCTGATTTTTTTGTTCTGATGTTCTGATTTTTTGTTCTGATTTTCTGATTTTTTTGTTCTGATGTTCTGATTTTTTTGTTCTGATTTTTTTGTTCTGATGTTCTGATTTTTTTGTTCTGATTTTTTTGTTCTGATTTCCGTAATTTTTTGTTCTGATTTTTTTGTTCTGATGTTCTGATTTTTTTGTTCTGATTTTTTTGTTCTGATTTCCGTAGCAGCACACACAACCCTCCGTAGCAGCACAAAAAGGTTTTTCCGGCGAAGATTCAGTTGGTCGTAACTTTTTTCAGAATCATCCAATCGAGCTGATTTTGGTGTCATTCAATCTCTCGATATCCCTCCTAATCCCCAAATCCACAATATCCACCTCTCCAAATTTATTGATATCTACCTTAATTCACCGACTAATAAAACTTATGTTTCTTTTTTTAATTAAGATTTTAAAAATGTTAGAAAATCAGGAGAAAAAAATCAAAAAAAATCTGAAGAAAAAAATCAGAAGAAGAAAATTAGAAAAAATTTTCTGGGAAAAAATAACTTGGGGCGCCTATTCGTCCCGCGCCTATTCGTCTCGCGCCTATTTGTCTCGGCGCCTATTCGGCCGCGCCTATTCGTCCGCGCCTATTCGGCCGCGCCTATTCGTCATGTATCGGGGCACAGTGATCCATTTGCACAGTAAGACAATTGCACATTGGGCATCTGCACAGTGGACAATTGCACAGTAATTTGTGGTTAAGTGCATTTGTGTTAGACTTTCTGATAAGTTTTTTAATAATAAAATGGTTTTTCTTAAACAAAAACAATTTTCCCTGTTCTATAAGCAATTTTTCCCGTTGTTGGAAAAGTTGTTCGCGGGAGACGAAAAATCGCAGAGATATAGGCTCCCGAAAATCGAAAAACAATAGAGTAAACCAAGCGGTTTTTTGTGGTAAAAAATTCTAAGATGCAAATTATAGCTCATTCGAAAGAGCTTTTTGAGTTGAGTCGGCTGACACCAAAATCATCTTGATTGGATGATTCTGAACGAAGTTATGACCTATAGGTGAATGAGCCTTGCGTTTATTTGGAGTGTTTCGCGGCTAAACAGGCGTTTTGCGAATAAATGGGTAGGTCGTTTTGCGAATAAACAAGACTTTACTGTGCAAATGTCCACTGTGTAATTGTCCTCTGTGCAAAAGTCTTACTGTGCAAATGGATCATTGTGCCCAAGTCGTGTCACCGTAAAATTGTCCCATTGTACAATTGTCCACTGTGCAATTGTCGTTTCACCTTTTTGGAGTTATACAATTAGAGTCTGGATCATTTACGTATAACTTTGAGTATTTGTTTCTTTTTCTAATTTTACTTTATTTACCGATTATTTTAAATATTTAATTTATATTTACTTTTATCTATTTATAAACGTCAATTAAAATTAAATGGCAACAGATAAAGATGAACATAAAGAGGATGTAGCTAATTTTAAAGATAGCGGTGAAGACAAACAACTTTTGCCACAAAAACAAGTTCAGGTATTTTAATAAAATTATTTTAAAATTATCTTTATTACTAGATAATTGATCCAGTAAAGGCAGTAAATTCATTAGGAGAATGTTGTGAAAAAGATCCTGCTGAACAACGAATTAGTTTAAAGTTTGATTTTTCTTTTAATTTTTGTCAATTCCCCCCTTTTAAATTAATTAAAATAATTTTTTGGGATTTTTTTCCAAATTAAAAAAACCCTTAAATTATTTCAGAGCTTATCGTCGTCGATGGATCGTTTTGTTTGTGGTAGCCTTATTAAATAATATAAATACAATGCTCTGGATTGCTTTTTCACCAATTTCCAATCATGTTGACACCTTTTATGGACGTAATTCGACAATATATTTTTCTGCTGTTTATATTTTTGTAACGATTCCGATTGGGATTTTTGCAATGTGGGCGGGCGGATATTTCGGTTTTTTTATCATTTTTTCTAATAATATTTGGTGTTTATTTTATGTCTGAGATATTCAATTTTAATTGCTGCTTGGGCAAATGGAATTGGGGCATTTATTCGTTTAGCAAGGTTTTAAGGAATTTTTTAAAATAAAATTTTGTCTTTTCAGTTCATTCTTCCCAGATGATATGCCTGGTTTTCGATTTCCTGTAGGAATTTCTGGCCAAGCTATTGCAGCCCTTGCCTATCCTTTTATTATGTTTTTGCCAACTAAAGTATATTTTATTTAAATATTTTTTATCTTTCTTTAATAGGTCGCGGCAGCTTGGTTTCCCGATAACCAACGTACTTTGGCAACTACAATTGGAGTATTTATTAAATTTATTTTTGAAAAAATATTTTTTAAAGGTTATGTCAAATCCTCTCGGAGTTCTCTTGGCCAATTTAATTAGTCCGATGATTGTTGGAAGTTGTGAACATGTTTTTCTTTTTTAATTTTTCTTTAAAATAATTTATTTTAGGTCAAAATTCTAAATATACTTTTTTCTGTTCCAAGCATTATTTTAACGGTTGTTGCTTCTGTGGCAATTACGGTAAATTGATTAATTTTTCTTATTTTTTGCTATAAACTCGAAATATTAATGTAAATGGGAGAATCCCTCAACAAACTTTTATCTAAATATTCGCATTTCGTGATTTTTTATTTGATTTTTTTAGAGTTCCGAACCAAAAATTCCACCAACATTAAGTGCCAGTAAACCAAGTTATCCATTTATTGAAGGAATTAAAAAATGTTTTACAAGTAAACAATATTTGGTTCTTCTTTTGGTTATGGGAGGAGGTTTGTTTTTAAATTATTTTTGAAAAAATTTTTTATTACAATTAGGTATTGGAATGTTTAATGCCTTATATACTTTAATGCAACAGCTTTTATGTCCATCTGGTTATTCAAATCAATTTAGTGGTTTTACTTCTGCTTTATTAATTACTGGAGGGGTTGTAGGTGCAACTGGAGCAAGTATTTTTTTTATTTTTTTAATTTAATATTTTTGGACAAATAAAAGGTTTTGTTGTTGATAGAACAAAACTTTATGTTGAAACAATGAAAGTTTCTATGGCTGTAGCTGTCGGATTTGGACTTGTATTTCTTCAGGTTTTTGTATTTTTTGGGGGTATTTTTTATTTATTTTTTAGTTAATACTTCATCGTGAAATGGATATTTGGATTCTTTTGGCTTGTTTCATTTTTGGTGTCTTCGGTTTAGCTGCTTATCCAGTTGGATTACAACTTTCGGCAGAATGTACTTATCCAGTCTCTGAAACAACATCAACAGGTCTGGTTGTGTTAAGTGGACAAATTCAGACAATTATTTATTTATCTGTTATGAAAACATTGGCTACACCATTACAATCATTATATCGAAAATATGAGGTTTGAATTACGCAACTTAGAAATTTTTTTAATTTTTTGGGAAAATAAATTGGTTTTTAACTTTCTTAAGAAAGTCTAAAAAAATTAAAAAAATATTTTTTGAGGTGTGTACTTTACTTAAAGTGGCAGAACACGATCATTTATCTTCTATTCCACCTACTTGTGGACATGGAAATATTTCAATTAATGTAGCTGACAATGAACAGACTGTTGAACCGATGGATTTTACTCTTTCAGTTATTGTTAGTTTTTAGATAATTTAAAAGTTAATTTTGTTTAATTTTTAGGTTATGTCAATGATAGCCGCTTTTATCGTTTTAATTTTACTTTTATTATTCCGTCCAAAACTTCGACGAATGGAAATGGAAAATGTTTTGCTTAATGCAGATTCAGGTAAAAAAGGATTTTAGGTTTAAAATTTTATTTTTATAAATTTAGGAAAAGAATTGGAAGTTGGAGTTAAAATTGAAGAGGAAAAAGTAAATTTAAAAATAATTACCCCTGATGGAGTACAAAATACTAATGAAAATTAATAAATTATTAAAAAGGAATAGACCAAAAACTTGAATGCTTTTATTTAAAATTTTTGATTTTTTTCAATTTTTCTATTGCCTTTAAATGCCGGAAAATTTTTGTTATTTTTGTAATAAAATAATTAAATCACGGTCTCCCGAATTAAAAAAATTTATTTGATGATTTCCAAGTTTTATTCCCAAATTGGCCATGAATTAATTTATTTTCAATTATTTGCAATTTGTCAGTATTTTAATTTAAATAAAATATTTTGAAGAATATTTTCCCTCTTTGCTTTTATTTTGCTTTTATGGATTGAAAAAATTTTTTAGTTTTAAGCAAGCATTTTTATATATTTTTAGTTTAATAAAAACTCTAAGCACGTGTTTATATTTTTTTATTTAAGTGAGTCGAATTAGATATGGGGGAAGTCGGTCCGACAATCAGGGACCGAGTTACAGACCCTTGAAGTTTGAAAAAGAGAAGGGGGATTTTTGTATTTTGTATAAATTTAAAATACTAATAAATAAATAAATATTTTGATTATTTGTTTTCCTTTTTTAAAAAAAGTTTTAGCTTTTTATCTTAAATCTTTACTAAAATTTTCTATTTTACCTAGAAAAAATTTTATTCAACAACTTTTTACGCAGTTTATTCAAAAGTTAGCAGATTCATCGCCAATTCGTCGAACAGCTCTCGTTTTCACAAAATCTTTGGATAATTATTTAGAGAAGAATATCAAAAATCGATTGAAGGAAAAATGGATTATTCATTGTTGAGCAAAAGAAAAATATTTAATGATTCAAATTTAGAGCAAGAGGTTTTTTTTATCTATTTTTAAATATTTTTGACTATTTGATTTTTTCCTCAAATCGTACCTGGGCGGAATTTTTCAATTTATATGTCTTTAGCTCTCCGTCTAGTTGCTTCAAGTGCTGTAATGTTTTTTAGTTAATTTTTAACAAAGATTTTTTAACATTTAAGGTTTAAGTAACTTATTGTTAGTAATTGTTTTTACTTTCCAATTTTGATCCAGAAACCGTTAATTTTGCCCAAAAGAATAAATATATTTTTAAGGACTCTCCAATAAAAAAAGAACAACAACCGACAACACCTGAAAAGGTTTTTTTATTGGACCGGGTTAAGAATGGGCCGGGTCGTTGGGGAAAAACTTCTTGTGCTTTCGGAGGGGTTTCCACAGTTTGGTATTTCAAAGGCTATTGTGGGTTTGGTATTTAAAGTTTTGGTGCTAAAATAAGACATTCCTGGCCGTTTTTGGGAAATTAACTAAAAAATATCTTTTTGTCCTTTAAGGTTATTTTATTTAACTTTTCTTTTTCAGGAAAACAATGATGTCAAAAAGAGAAAGGTTTAAAAATATAAAAAATTAATAAAATTTTTTAGAGACTTGCCCGTGGCGAGAGAATTCGAAGAAAGAAGCGTAGAGGAGAAGCATTGCAGAATTTAACAAAATTTAATAATCTGGATCTTTAAAAATGGAAAAAAACTTTTTTGTGATATCTAGAAAAATATCGATCTCGATAACCGAAATTTTTGTTTTAGATCTCGTCCCTGTCTCTATTAAAATTGTCTTCAAGCCACTTTTATACTATTTCTTTATTTCTCCCCATTTTTATACAAAATTTTTTCGGCCCAACAATCTGATTAAGTTTTTGACCAATTGTAACTTTTTGTTTAAAGAAAAGGATCGAAAATGGGGGAGATATCGGTGTAGTACTACTAATTATTCTTTATAAATATTTTAAATAAAGGTTGATATTATCTTAAAGCTTCAAAGCTTATAGAAGTTTTTTTACAACTTGAAATTTCCTTAAAATTATCTAGGTTTGCTATATTTTAGTTTTGATATATTTTACTGTTTCCATTTTGAAATCACTTAAGTTAACATTTTGAAGTTACTCTGGAATTGTGTTAATTAGAGAAAAATTTTTAAATTTACGCCTCTTGTCAGCGTCCTTTTTTTGGCATTCTGTTTTTATTGATTTTTTCTGTTATTCTCTATTTTATTCACTCTTTTTTAGCCACTCGATCTTGTGCTTTTTGTCTTGTGTTCTTTTTTTTACATTAAAGCGTAACCGGCGGAAACCGCAGTGCACGCGGAAAACGCGGCGTCTTTTTCTCTTCTCATTTCAATCTTAATTTTTTTAGATCTTCTCATTTTGATTTTTTCTGTTATTCTCTATTTTATTCACTCTTTTTTAGCCACTCGATCTTGTGCTTTTTGTCTTGTGTTCTTTTTTTTACATTAAAGCGTAACCGGCGGAAACCGCAGTGCACGCGGAAAACGCGGCGTCTTTTTCTCTTCTCATTTCCAATTATACCGCATTACGCCGGCGTTTTTATGCAAGCGTAGCATTGAACGGCTTTTATCGTCAAAATGGTACGCGCCAAACTACCAGCTCCACATTTAGGATAATTTCAATTTTAAATTTACAAATTTGAACTCACAAACAGAAATTTTCAGAATCAAATTATTTCAATCTTAATTTTTTTAGATATTTATTTTATTCTTATTAAATTCGGTACTTATGAAGATGGAGGTGCCCTTTCTGCGGACTTTTTTTTGCGGACTTTTCTTCCTTTCTTTCTAAATGTTTTGGTTGTTTTGCTTTCAGCAAGTTTTGCTCGTAGCAATTAACTGTCAAAGGATTATTTTTTATGCCAATTTGAAAAATATGTGTTCACGATTAATTTGAATATATAAGCGTAAAAATGTTACAATCAATAAAAAATTTGACTTTAACTAAATTTTCAATTACCCGATGATGAATTTAGACAATGGATCACTGATCTCGGAATACTTCATAAAAAAAAGAATATGTTATTGTGGAACAGAAATGCGGGTAATTTCAAACCTTGCCCCCCCCATTATTTTTATTACCTAAGATTGTACAAAATGGTCAGATTTCCTTTCCTCTGATTGAGCTTGGCATATTCAAATAAGAGATATTGTTGATAAAGAGAAGATTAAAATTAATTGAGTTGTTCAATACTGAGTTCAATTTATTTTCTCAGTTGTTCAATATTTTAAAATAGAAGTAAGAATGTAATGTTTTTACACACAAATTCATAATGTTATACACCAAATCAATTTTATTGAATTCTTTTTTGATTGGCGTGTCTTCCAAAGGCAAAAAAATAAGTGTATGACTATAAAAACTAATCTTCTCTTCATCAATGTCTCGTTTGAATTTGCCACAGGGCAAATAGAGGAAGGAGAGGAAGAAGAAAATCTGACCTTTATGTACAATCTTAGGTAAGAAGAATAATGGGGGAGTGGCGTTGACAGTTAGTTGCTACAAGTAAAACATTTAAAAGAAGGGAAGAAAAGTCCGCAAAAAAAGTCCGCAGAAAGGGCACCTCCATCTTCATAAGTACCTTAAATTCAAGCACAAAATTTGCTCACCCATTCTCATCTTTTTTAAACATGTTTTGTGACACTGAAGTATTTTCAAGGAAAGTTTTTGTTGGGGGATTACCAATCGACATAACAGAGACTGAGGTTAAGCAGACTTCAAAAGGAAGTAATTCTGGTTAGAAGAAATTTTGTTTCTAAAGATTTAGTGCTTTGCTGGTAGATAGAGCTTGCCTATGGAAGCTTCTTGTGCAATTAAGAAGGCGCGAGGTTAGATTTAAAGATGAGGGAGGGAGGAGGGTTGGGTTTAAAAGTTCTAGGCTTGGCTTTGATGTGATTTTCTAGTTCCCACTCCCTTCTGAGCTACCTAGGGAAGGGGACCTGCTCCCGAGTTTGAGTTCGGAAACATACTGACGCAGAAAGGTAAACAGGAAATTCAAAAAGGTGTTCGGGTCGATGTCAGGAAAAACTAGAGAATATCTTAAAAAGGGCAAACCTGGGCTTGATACTTTCCGAATACACCGATCTGAGTCCGATTAGGTCCGGCTCCTGTGGCTTGGAGTCCAAAAAATCTCAAGTCTAGGTACTCAAAAACTCTAGGTACTGGGTAACTCATTCCATTTCTGATACGTTTAGGAGACCTATAAAATTTAAACTGTCTAAATTATTTATTTCAGATTTTTATTGGTGGAGTGCCAAGACCAACAAAAGCTAGTGAATTAGCTTTTGTTCTCGAAAGTCAATATGGCTCAGTTTGCTATGCAGGCTTTGATGTGGACCCAGACATGAAATATCCTAAAGGAGCTGCTAGAGTTACCTTCAATACTTTTAAATCTTATGTTGCTGCGATGGCTGGCCGTTTTGTTAATATTCCACATTCATATTTCTGGTTTATTTTTGCATTCATTTTTGTAATAAACTTTACTTTTAGGTCGATGCTCTACTGTTTGAAACAGCAAAGATGGGCTCTCCTCCTTTTTAGGGGGGGGGGGGGGGTAGATTAGAAGCGGACAAAACTTGCTAATGATAATATTCAAGCCAAATTTAACAATCGTTTTTTCAGTCCTCAATTCAACGTCGACCGTCAACATCTTCAGTTCAAACGCTTTACGTCAACGAAACGTTGGTTTAGTTTTTAATTTACTTTTTAGCGTATGGAGGACTTCGTTTTGTGCCCATACGCCCGCCACCTTCTCCCACCTCGTTTTGGGCTCCCATCCCCATACGAACTGTTCAGTTCAGGATTTACATTCTGACAAACAGTTCAGTTCAGGCTTCCATGCATTCTGACAAATTGTTAGTTCGGAAGGAATCTGACAACTTGTTCAGCTCAGGAGGAATCCTAGCAAGCAGTTCAGTTCAGGTACTTCTGACAAACTTCAGCTCAGGAGTAATTCTGACAAAGTTCAGTTCAGGAGAAATCTGACAAATTGCTTGTTTAGGAGGAATTCTGACAAACAAGTCAGTTCAGGTGAATTCCGACTAGCAATTCAGTTCAGGATGCATCGTAACACCCTCCCCCACCTCGTTTTGGGCTCCCATCCCCATACGAACTGTTCAGTTCAGGATTTACATTCTGACAAACAGTTCAGTTCAGGCTTCCATGCATTCTGACAAATTGTTAGTTCGGAAGGAATCTGACAACTTGTTCAGCTCAGGAGGAATCCTAGCAAGCAGTTCAGTTCAGGTACTTCTGACAAACTTCAGCTCAGGAGTAATTCTGACAAAGTTCAGTTCAGGAGAAATCTGACAAATTGCTTGTTTAGGAGGAATTCTGACAAACAAGTCAGTTCAGGTGAATTCCGACTAGCAATTCAGTTCAGGATGCATCGTCCCCACCCTTTTTACTTGTTAGTATGGTCATTCAAGTCCTCCATGTAGTTTGACAACAAACAACAACAACACCAGGCTACAGTCGCTTCCATGCATTCTGACAAAGTTCAGTTCAGGAGAAATCTGACAAATTGTTTTTTAGGAGGAATTCTCAGGCAGCTCTCCAAATGTTTGTTTTTTTGTTTTTTTAAACAAGCAAGTTTTGTCCGCAAATTTCATGAGTAAAAATTTTGAATAAGTAAAGTAACCTTACTGGAAAGGATATTTCCACCAAATAATCGTCTTTTTTGATAAATGATCCGATTAGATTATGTGAATAATGGTATCACTACACCCCAAAAAATCTTAGGTATTGAATGTTTAATGCCTTTTATACTTTAATGCAACAGATTTATGTCCATCTAGCTATTCAAATCAATTTAGTGGTTTTCTGCTTTATTAATTACGGGAGGAGTTGTTGGTTCAACTGGAGCAAGTATTTTTATTTTTTTAATTTAATATTTTTGGACATTTAAAATTAAAAGGATTTGTTGTTGATAGAACAAAACTTTATGTTGAAACAATGTACTTATCCAGTCTCTGAAACAACATCAACAGGTCTAGTTGTGTTAAGTGGACAAATTCAGACTATTATGAATGCAGGCGAAACTTTTTTGAATTTTAGAAGGCTGTAGGCCAAAAAATTCACTATTTTGCCTAACGCTTTCCCCAAATTTTTCCCTTTTCCCCATTTCGGGGGGGGGGGGGCTTTAGCCCCAGAAGCCCCCCTGGATACGCCCTTGCAAAATACGAATGAAAATTAATAAATTATTAAAAAGGAATAGACCAAAACTTGAATTCTTTTATTTTAAATTTTTGATTTTTTTAAATTTTTTATTGCCTTGCCGGAAAATTTTGTTATTTTTGTAATAGAATAATTAAATCATGGCCTCCCGAATTTAAAAAAAATTTGTTTGAGAATTTCAAGTTTTATTCCCAAATTGGCCATGAATTAATTTATTTTGAATAATTTGCAATTTGCCAGTATTTTAATTTAAATAAAATATTTTGAAGAATATTTTTCCCCTCTTTTTTATTTTGCTTTTGTGGATTAGAAAAATTTTTTTTGGTTTTTAAGCAAACATTTTTATATATTTTTAGTTTAATAAAAGCTCTAAGCACGTGTTTATATTTTTTTATTTAAGCTAAAATCAATCAAAGCAATTTTTCTTTTTAAAAAGAAAATATTTTTTTAGATTACTTGAGAGATAAAAATAAAAAATATTTATTTTACAACGCGTAAAAAGCGTTTTAATAATTTTGTAAAAATTAATTAGCTGATTTATTAAAATGGCACTTTAAATTAATATTAATTCACAATAATTATTTTTAAGGGTGTTGGCACATTTATTTATTTTTAATTCACTTTTTGGCTTTTATTCTGTTAAACGATAAATATTTGTGTAAATTTCATCTTCCCCATCTTCCCGAACTTCAAATATAAAAGCAATAACCATTAAAGTTTCTTCACTTTGTTTATTTGAAACAATTTGTAAAACTAAAATTTTAAATAAAAATTAATTTATTTTAATTTTACTTGTAAAATTCTCCAAAACACTATTCATTAAAGACGGCTCTTGTAGCTTTTTTAATTCTGATATAAATCTGACCTTTAAAAAGGGAAGAGAAATTAAAAAATAAATTTTTAAGTACCATATATTCACACATTGGGGATTTTTCTAATCGAAAATGCCAAAGTTGTGAAGAAGGTTTAATATCTTCATCTTCTTCAATTGGTGAATAAATCTGTTATTAAAAATCATAAATATAAATAATATTTCCCTTTTTTTTACCTCAACTTTCTCAACAACTTCATTACCAAAACTACAAACTTTTGTTGAAACTTTAAAAAAAAATTATTTTTTTTTTATTTCCCCTATTTTCCTACCAATAATATCAAATCTCCCAAAATTCGATTCATAATAAGAATCTACAGCAAATAAAGCATTTTGTTCATCATTTATTTCAAAATTCATATTTGCCCAACATTTTGCAAGAAAAAAGGCATCTGAAGGTCCCCGTTTAAAAAGCTCTTGTAAAATTGGTGGATATTTTGATTGAATTAATTCTAAACTAATTCTTTCAAAAGGAGTTTCAGAATTTTTAGGAATATGCACTAATTCAATTCTTTGTTGTCCAATACTTTCTTCTTCCATCATTTCCTCCCTTCTTTCTCTATTTTTTATTAAATTTTGTTCTTCAATATAAGCTGTAAATCCATTTAAAACTAAATTGGGAGATGCTATTGTAGTCATTTTATTGTTTATTGTTGTTGCACATGTAAAGGCTGAGGAAGGGGTTGTTGTAAATATTATTTGTTCTGATGATGAAGAATTTGTATTTAATTGACAATTACCATTAGAAACAAATGCAGCGGGGATTGAGGCAACAACACTCGAACATGGATTTGAGGAACTAAAATTTTTGACTTTTGTGATTAAAAATTATTTGGGTCTCTAATAAAGATCGGAAATTTTGAAAAGCCTGGACCTTGGACTCTGGGTTTGATTTCTTGACTTGGACTGGATCCAGGGCCTGTAGTCCAGGAAAAACGCAGGAAGGTCAGAAAATGACTGAACCTGGACTCTGGGTACAGGAAAACCCCAGGCCTTGGTCCAGACCAGGCCGATCTCTAGTCTCTATTTTTCCTTTCAAAGAAAAGGAAAATAGGTAAGGATAACCCTAAAATACTTTTTAAAATTTAATTCAAAAATATTCTTTAAAGACAATTTTTCTCCAAAAATTTTTTACTTACGCTGCCATATAAAGTTGTGCTCCAGCCATTAAATGTTGGTTATTATTATTGTTAGTAACAATTAAAGAAGGCCAATTTTGTTGAGAAATTGCTGAAGCTGCCCTGGCAACTTGTGCTTGTACAGAGGCAATTTGATCCCTAAAAATATTAAAAATAAAAACATTTTTTCTTTTTATAAAAATTGCCTATTAATCGAGGTAATTAAATTGGCAAGTGGTTGTTGTGAGGCAGCAACGGCTAAAGAAATATTTTGTATTTGATTATTATTATTTGGTGAAGAAGGTAGTATATTTAATGAATTAGAAGGCAATGAATGTCCAATTATTAAATCTTCAGATTCTGCTTTTTTAATTTGTTTTTGTTGTTGAGGGCTTTAAAAGTATAATTTTTTTAAAAATATTTTCTGGTTAAAAAACCTATTATTTGAGGAAGGCAATATTGTAGCAGAAACAGAGGCAGTTGTGTGATTATTAGAAACTGATGAGGTTGTTGAGGCAGAAGAGGAATTTGCGTTTGTTTCGGGTAAAGTATTATCACGTTGGGTCTTTAAAATAAGATAAAGGTAAAGATTATGTCCAAACATTTTTCATTTCCTAAATTCTACTTTATTTCCCCTTTTAGGCATAGTGCTGTGATAATTTTTGGGAGAAAATCCAAAAATTAGACATTCAATTATTTGATTACCTTTATTCTTGAATGCTCTTCTCGCTGTTTTTTTCTTGCAAGTACTTGAATATGAGAAGAAACTTGTTTTCGAGCTAATGAAAATAAATAAATTTTAAAATATATTCTTCAAAAAAACTTCTTGATTTTCCACATCTAAGTTTAATATAACGAGCAATTAATTCATTACGTCCATACATTTTGCCTTCATCGCTGAGAATTATTTTACGCCTTCCACATGGAGGGTATATCTTTTTTTAAATGTACAAACATTTAAAATATATATTTATTTACTTGTAAAGCTTCATGAAATGCTTGATCAATGTCCGGACTCCAAACACCTTCAGCATCCCCATCATTTGATGAACGCATTTCTGCTGCATTTCCATTTGATGAAGTACTTAATGGAGATGAATTGAGTGGAATTGAATTATCCATTGCTTCAATATTATTATTGCAAGGGGGAATATGCCCAGCAGATGCTGAATGATGTAACCAGACATTAGCTGCTGTTGCTGCGCTTCCATAATCCAATGATAACCTTTTTTAAATATTCTTGTTTAATAAATACAAATAATGGAATAAATTAATTTTTTTCGGAAAACCTCAAATAAATAGCAGTAAGTAAAGTTAACTTTATAATTGAGAGAAAACAAGGGGAAGAATTAATTTACGATACTTTTGGGTTATCTACATATCTATTCCCATTTTATTTTCCTTTCTCTTTACTACAATTTACGAATCGCCTCATAGCCTGATCTCCAACGCTTAACTTCGGTAAACGTCCATATTTACAGATTTTGTTTTTTTTCAAGGTTTGTACTATATTAACATTAAACATTTAATGTCTTTTAAATGGTTGATCTTTATATTAGACTTGTAATATTTTAGTGTTGTCAACTTTACTCGAAAAATCGACCCGAATAAGTAACCCTAATGTATCATTATTATTATTATGCGCTTCAAAACAGTCGTAGTATTAATGATAAAAAATAAATGGAAAAAATAACAACCAAATAGTGAATAATATTTTAATAAAATTATTTTATTTTTAAAATAATTTATTTTACAAAAATAAATTTTATTTAATAAAAAAACAAATAAAAATAACATACATTCTTTGTTTAGTCTCCTCCTCGTTTGTTTCTTCATTACTAAAATTCATTTAAAAATTAACCACCGTAATAAAATAGTAGAAGTAGTAAATTAATTGAATTAAAATTAAATAATAATTATTTTTACATTAAGTATTTCCCTCACAATCATTTAAACTATTAAAGTAATCTTTTAAAATATTTAATAAAATGATGATATAGAAAAACAATTAAATAATTTAATTAATAAAAATAAATAAAAAATTTTTATATTTAAATAGCATAAGGAGATATGACAATTTTGCCATAATATAAGTATAACTATTTAATTTTTTTAATAAATTATATGTAACTTAATCCCTTGAGCGTAAAAAATATGTGGAAAGATATCTACATATGTGTTTAAAACTTAAACAAAGTTTTATTTAAATTACGCAAAAAAATATGAAATCTTTTAAAAAATGACGCAAATTATAAAAATTTAAATTTTAAAAGGTAATTTTGGTCTTTTCAATAGTTTATCCTATGTGGATAACTAATTTTTGTCGTAAAAAATTAAATTGTAGGTCCAAATAGAAATTTTACAAATTTAAATTTACTTATAAAATCGGTTTTTAAGCTTGCTATTTTTCAAATACCTTTCAAAATCATACTTTTTAAGAGTTAATAATTTTTTGTAATCATTTTTTTGTAAAATTTTTTATTTTCATTTTAATTATCCAAATTTTTAAAATTAAATTAATCAATTAACCTATGTTTTATTTTTTGCAAAATTTGAGGGATATTTTCGGGGAAATTTTGGAGGGAGAAGGGAATGGAATGCTTGGAATGAGGTAGCAGAAAGGGATTGGAATTTGGGAAACGCCAGAAATGCTCAACAGTGAGCGAGGAAAAAGGACAACAACAGTGGACGATAACAACGCATCGATACGACGGGACGGTCGTCGCTGGCAGTGAATAAATAAATAGTAGTAGATTGTTATGTTACTAATAGCAGTCATTCGCGTAGTTGTCGTTGACGATTCAATAGTGATGGGGGGAAATGAATAATAATAAATATATTTTTAGAGAGAAAGAGTTAAAAAATAGGAGAAGAAAGAAATAAAAAATGTGAATTTAAAGAGCCTTTAGGTTAAGGTAAATCAGAGTCTAATAGGACAAAATTACTGTAAACAAATGAGAGAATTTTCGAGAAAAGATAAAGAAAACAGAATAAAAAAGTATTAAAATAACGATAAGATTCTTCATTTAATTTATAAATATTTATTTTTGTTTCTCAGAGTTAATCACCTTAAAATTAAATCCTTAGCCTCTAATACCCCTCCTTCGTTTTTAAGGGAAAACAACAAACGCCAACACATTACGATGTTGATGGGAAGATGAAATTGATTGGGTAGTGATGAATTGCAAGGAACGGGGCGAATGGAAACTGAAGAAGAAGAAGAAAAAGCGAAGAGTCACTAAACCATTCCCTATCTACCCTGAATTTTAGCCTTGTGCATGCTTTTACTGCCTAAAGAGAGAATATTAAGTGGCTGTTTGGTTGTGGTCTTATCGCCATTTAATATGTACATTACGTCATGATATGAAGAAAAAATACGATTTTTACCTTGCAGTGAGAACTGCTCATCCCTTCTTACATTTTTTAATAACCGTTTTTTATTTATCACACACTTCCTTTTAAATTTTACTCATCCATCAGTCAATTTGGTTTGTTACTAGATTAGGTTTGTAACCTAACCTTTAGATTAGGTTGCAAATTAAAAATTTATATTTTTAAAAATTAAGTGTTACAGGAAAAATATAAAATCGTCAAAGAAAATTAATTATTTACATAATTCATACCGTCTTATAGAGTGAGAGAGAGGGTTACTCATAAAATTAAGACAGAAAATACAGTAGGACTTTAAAAAATTCAAATAAATTTTTTAATTTAAAAGCTTAATTTAAAACAAAATTTTGTACTCAATTAGACCCTAAAAAATCCTATAACTAGATAGAAAATTTCGCAATTTTAAAATTTAGACAACTGACAAAAATCTTATTCAATCATTTCGTTGCTTTATTTAGCACATTCGTGTGACAAATCTTTAAAAAATTTTTTTGTTGGCGTTTTGTTTTTTTATTTAAATATTTAATTTTCTCCTCTTTCACATGCCACACACTCTCGGCTCCGGTACAAAATATGGAATCGTTAAAATATGGAATGGTTAAAATCGCGAATAGGCTAAAAAGGGGTTAAAATACCGAATCGTTAAAATATGGAAACGTTAAAATATCGAATCGGGTAAAAAAGGGTTAAAATATGGAATCGTTAAAATATGGAATGGTAAAAATGTCGACACGGCCAAAATCTGTCAAAATGTCGAATTCTTTTAAAAAAGGGTCAGATGAGTGCCATACGTTGATTGTAGATGATTTTATCAACTTATCAACTTATTAATGATAAGTTGATTGATAAGTCTCTTATGTCGTAGTCCGGCACAATCTTTTCTGCCAGAGTTCATTGTATTTTACCGAGTAAAACCGGACCGGATAAATCAAGCATAATCGACCGGATCCGGTCCGGCATGATCGTACGGATCCGGAAAACATAACGCGATCCTGATATGGAAAAATTAGAGTGGTGTGCATTAGTTTTTAGTTAAGACCTAAAGTTTGACCTTACCGTATACGGTACGAAATACCGAAAAATACCGATCAGCTTTTAAATTTTATCGGTCGGATTCCGTACCGTACAACCGACACGGAATATCGAAAAATACCGTCGGTATTACGGTAACGCCCGGATTCTAGTTTTGGCGCCATTTTTAAAAAATTCGACATTTTGATCGATTTTGGCCGTGTCGACATTTTTACCATTCCATATTTTAACGATTCCATATTTTAACCCTTTTTTAGCCTATTCGATATTTTAACCATTCCATATTTTAACGATTCCACATTTTAACCCCTTTTTAGCCTATTCGCGATTTTAACCCCTTTTTACCCGATTCGAGATTTTAACCCTTTTTTAGCCTATTCCATATTTTAACGATTCGATATTTTGTCCGGACACGCACACTCTCTCACCGTTTTCTTTAATCAAATTTTTCTCAAAAAATTTTTTTAAAAATTTCAGAATTTTAATTTTCATTGCTCTCCTTCTATTAATGGTATTTTTATTTAAAATTAATTTAACAAATATTTAATTCTTTTACAGAAAAATGTATTGGTTGTTTGGTTATTTATTATAACAATTTCATTAACATTAAATGGAAAATCACATCTTAAATTTCCTTTTGCTTCATCAAATTTTGCAGATAAATTTATTCCAGTAGATCCAGAAGAATTAGAAATAGCTAAAGAACAAGCTAAAGAAATGTTCTTTTTTGGCTACAATAATTATTTAAAGTTTGAATTTAAAAAAGATGTAAAAAAAAATTTTCAGACATGCTTTTCCACTTGATGAACTAGATCCAATTCATTGTACGGGAAGAGGGCCTGATTATAATAATCCTGACAATTTAAATATTAATGATGTTTTGGGTGATTACTCTTTGACTTTGGTTTTTTTTGATTTATTTTTCTTTAAATATTTTTTATAGATTGATTCTTTAAATACATTGGTTGTTGTTGGAAGTAAAGATGCTTTTCATAAAGCTGTTAAGCTTGTAATTGAAACTGTTTCTTTTGAAAAAAATGTTACTGTTCAAGTGTTTGAGGCAACTATAAGGTTTGTTTAAATGTTTTTATTTTTGTTTTAAATACTTTAAATGAATGGGTAAAAGAAGGTGTTAAATAATCTTTTGTGGGGGTTTTATTATAATCTCCAAAAAATCTTTTCTGGGGCAGTCAATTTTTTTTATTTTCAGAGTTATTGGCTCACTCCTGTCTGCACACATGATCTTAACTAACGAAAATCCTTTTCATGGCGATTTCACTTTTCCTGAATATGATTCTGAATTGCTTACAATGGCACACGATATTGCTGGCAGACTTTTACCTGCTTTTAGTGGAACTGGCACAGGTTTATATCTTTTTAAATAAAATTTAGTTTTTATTTTTAAGGACTTCCTTATCCCCGTGTTAATTTAATTCACGGTGTTTTGCCGGGTACTTCGAATGAAACTTGTACAGCTGGTGCTGGCTCTTTATTATTAGAATTTGGTGTTCTCTCGAGGTTATTAAATGATCCAACATTTGAAGAAAAAGCGAGGAAAGTTAATGAAATTTTGTGGGAATTTAGAAATAAAGAAACTGGACTTATGGGTATTTTAAAAATAATTTTGTGTTTAAAGTTCTTTTTAGGTAATATTATTGATATTCAAACTGGGGAATGGAAAAGTTTTATGGCAGGAATGGGAGCAGGATTTGATTCATTTTTTGAATATTTATTGAAGGCACATATTCTCTTTGGAGAAACACGTGAATTGGAAATGTTTATTGGAATTAGAAAAAGTATAAGAGAACAAATTAGGCGTGGACGGCCAAAATGCAGATTTGGTTAGAAAAAATTAATTTAATAAAAAGTAAGAGCCTATATTTTCTAAAGGAGATGGAAATCCACCATTATATCCTAATGTTGATATGCGTGATGGAAGTATTATCAATACTTGGTTGGACGCTCTACAAGTGTATTCTATTTTCAAGATTTATTTTTTACTTCTATCTTTTTCCAGGCAAGTTTTGCTGGCGTTCAAGTATTGGATGGTGATTTAGATGAAGCAATATGTTCCCACGCGGTTTATTATGCAATCTGGCAGAAATATGAAATGATTCCCGAACGCTTTAATTGGCATTCAAAAACACCCGATGTTAGTTTTTATCCGTTAAGACCGGAATTTATTGAATCAACATATTTACTCTTTTTGGCAACAAAAAGTCCTTTTTATCAACGTGTTGGAATGCAAATTGTTGACTCTTTAAATCTACATACTCGTTTCGGGTGAGAATGGAAATATTTCGGAAATTTGATTGTTTTCAGATGTGGTTTCGCAACAGTCCACAACGTTTTGGATAAATCACTTGAGGATCGAATGGAATCATTTTTCTTGTCAGAAACATGCAAATACCTCTATCTGGTATTTATAAATTATTTAAACTTTACACGACTTTTATAGCTATTCGACGTTAGCAACCCTCTAAATTGGCATTACGAAAAATTGTTATTTTCAACAGAAGGGCATACATTCCCCATCGTGCGGAGTTTAAGACGACACCCAGTTGGGCCAGTTTATCATGATGAAACTGACACACTTTCATGGTCAACAACAAAACCTCAAAATTTTGGAAATGGTTTGATAAATTAAATAATCCAGAAATATTTTTTTTTAATTTTAAGGAACGATTTATCAATCTTGCAACTCTTTACCCTTGCCGGATGATGAAGGTAACATTTTCCTGACTAAACCACTTCCAATTTCGCCTTTCCATTTGGGCCAGTATTTCAGGGTGATTGATACATCACTAGATGATTAGAAAATGGGAATTAAAAATGATACTTGCGATAACCTTCCTCGCATTTACTTTTCTCCTTTAATTTTTCTTCGATAGCTTATTCGAAACAGCTTGTCGAGCTAAATCGAATGAACGAAAGCAGGCCTAATTGGCCAAATGACACCGATATGCATGTTATGACTATGTTTTTATTTATCATTTAACACGAAAATTTTTTAAATGGGCTATTATAATATTTATACCTCAAAAAAGAAAGGAAAATGCGAGGAGGTAATCGACTATAATACCTTTAATATTTCCAATTTTGTCATATCTTTTAATGTTTGCAAATCTGTGATTCTTTTTAAATTTACTCAATTTCCGGTGATTTTGTTACTGACACTTCAAGGATTTCTTTTATAAATATTTAAAACTTTTACACATATTCTAACTTTAGAAATGCCGAATTTTCAGGGAGAATGTAATAAATTTTTTTGGTTATTTTTGATGAATTTTAAATAAGATCTTTCTAACAATAAGCGAGGGGAGATGTAGGAATAAGGAAACATATGTATGTATAATTTATAAATAAAAATCCCTGTATAATACAATGAATTATTGAGAGTTTGGTTGAAAAAACATTGGCATTTGTTGTAAATTATCACACTGGCCATTTATAAGAGTCTGTTCATTCTAAAAAATAGTATTATTTAAAAAAAACTTTAACTACTCACAAATTGTTTATTAACACCAAAAAGTTGATCTTTCCTCTGATTTAATTCTTCTGGTTTGAGTGCTCGAGAATTTTTTAGCCTTTTCCATTCACCTGTTCGATAATCCATTTGAAAGAAAGTTTCAACAAGAATTGCTTCTACGCCTACTCCACTGGCTAATGGTTCAAATTCAACAGTTTCTGAGAATGGAAGCGTAATTAACGGTCCAATATCTTTTTCAAAAGGATTATCTAAAATGAAAAATATTTTTTATTTAATTTTAATATTTTATACAAACGTTTATTTCCGATAAGGAAGGAAATAATTAAATTATAGCTGGACAGTGTAAGTTTATTTGCATCTTTTAACATACTCTCAAATTGTTGGAGTGCGGCCAAATTCGTAGTTGGCTAAAAGTAAAAATTAAGATTATTTTAAAAAATTAGAAAAACAATATTTTCAAAAGGATTTGCAACCATCATTTGTCCTATTGGTTGCGGGTAAATGAGATGTTGATTTTGAGATGTTGAACTGCTTCCAGCAGAAGATAAAATGGCATTTTGATCCATAGTAATTTCCGGTGGAATTGGTAACATTGACGGCATTGAGATTGGTGGAAACATTAAATTTGTATTTGTTGAAAGTTGAAGACTGTCTAAATTTTGACTGTTGTCCAATAAAGATGAAGTCATTTGCTGCGGATTTTCCGATACTGAATATTAGAAATATTATAAAATTATTTACAATTTTGAAAGACGTCTGACCGGGTTCTGTTTTCGACGCTAAATTTCTGTTTATATCTCATTGGATAACGGGTTAAAAATTCATAATATAATTCCTACAATTAGCCAGAGTTAGAGAAAACCCCTAAATTCGTATATACCGACAATTGGTTTCATTTTAATAAAAAATATTTACTAGATTCTGATGCTAAAGAGGCCTGTACAGGTGTTGACTCCCCAGTCTCTACATTCAAAGATCCGTTGGCATTTTGCTCATTTTGTTCACTTTTATTTTTAATCAGCGAATTCTTATTAGGAGATTGCTCTTTCTGTTCCTCTTTTTTCTAGAAAAAAATCGAAACTTCTTACTTCAAAATTAAAAATAGTAACCAAAGTTATTGTTTCAACATTTCGTCTCCTTCTGCTTTGTTTAGGTAAATCGTCAATGTCCAAAAGCATTGCACCACCGGTCCTTTTTAAAAGCGTCCGTTGATGGTACTTCTTTGATTCATTTGTAAAACCTCCAGACATTTTTAATGCACTCGCAGTTGAGGGAATCCCTTTCATTGGCACTAAAAATAAAAATGATTTTTAAACATAAAAACCCCCTTACAAGAATTGTCCAAACGTTTAGCAGTGCTTCTAATTTTAATAGGAAATGAAGAAATAAGTCCATGATTCTTTTTGCTTGATGGATTATGTTGCTGTTCAGCAGCTAAAAAATTTAAAAAAATATAAAAATTAAAACAATTTATACATTTCTTCACATCCTCCAATAATTTTGCAGATTTTGTAATTGTTGTCCTCTCTCTATGTTCAAAGTGTTTTATAATTTTGTTTCTTTCAGATGTTTCCTTATTTAATGATATAAAAAATATAAAGACAAAAATTACCGATTTAAGCAATGATTCAGGAATCAATTCCAAATCTGGAGGCAATTTCACAATAAAATCATTGCTAGTTGAACAAACTTTTTCTGTCACTAAAATGAACTTAAAAATATAAAAATTATTTTTAAAAATCAAACCAATTCTCTCAAGCTCTAATTGTGTTCGATTAAAGAAAGAATCAGTCTTTGAAGAACATTGGATTAAACCTTCATCTGGGAAATTTCGAAAAATGTCTGCAACAGTCTCCACCTAAAAAGATATTTAAAAATAAAAATTTTCAAACAGACTCACCCAATCATCAGGATCTCGCCTAGCCACTTCCAGCAAATTAAAAAGTGGTTCTTTCCACTAAAAAATAATAAAATAAAAGATTAGATAAAATAATTAATTTAAAAAATTAAAAAAAATACCCCTTGTAAGCTCTTTGGTGAAATATGAACCATAGCTTGGATAATCTTCAATTTTATATGGGGCTCCAATTCCTGAAATAAAAGAAAATTTTAAAAACTTTTTAAAAAATTTACTTGAAAGCATGTCTCTAATTCAATAAGAATATCTCGCGTTAACACAAAAGAAGCTTGTTTTCCTCCCCACAACTCGTTAGAGCCAAGTTTATTTTCAATCCAACGAACCAAATCTTGTTGATCGCGAAAGTGATTATCAAATGACATTTGTCAAAAAAATTCTAGCTGTAAATAAAATTATTTAAGACGCTCATCAAACAAAAACATAATCCATGGAGCAATGAAATCATGAACTGTTTTGCAACAAGATAAAATGCGACACGACTCAATTGTTGCGACAACTGAGTCGTGTCACAGCAGTATCAGCCCGTTGACGCACGCGCGAAAACTACTTAGTTCTCTATTTCTCCTTTCTTTCGTTCTCTAACTGTCTCTCTTTCTTTTATGCACTCTTTTTTTGCGACTGCGAGGACAAATTTTATTAAAACTTTAAAATCCCATATCTCGAAAACTATCCCAAATTTTTGAAATTCTGTTCCAACCATTTCAAAAATAATTGTTTTAAAATTTTATAAAAAAAATTTCAGAAATTTTTATGCAAAATTCACAGAGTTAATGCAAAATTAATTTCTCTGAATTTTCCGATAAAAATTTTCTAAAATTTTCTGATTATTTCAGAGATTTTGGTACCACCCGATGCATCTTGACGAGATACGTCGATTCTTGCCAAATTTGAAGTTATAAAGCCAACTTAAGCTGAGTTATGGCCAAAAATGTATAAATTTTGATCGATTTTCAAAAAATCATAACTTAGCAAAAAATGCATACTTTCCGCTCAAATTTTGCAGAGATTTAGATTAATCATAGTATTACAAGTTATTAAAATTATAATTCGGCAAAATTTTGAAGAAATCTCGTCACTTAGGTTCATTAGTAATACTCCCGAATATCGGAAAAGTATACTTCCGAATATGGACAATTCCCGAGTATATGTGTTATATGTCATTCGAAAGAGCTCGTCGAGATGAGTCGAATGACACCAAAATCAAAAACCGATCTTAATTATGAACTGAGATACAGACTCCTAAAAATCGGAAAAATTGTGTTTTAAAAAATTCATAACTTCACCCAAAATGAAAATTTTCCTCTAAAATTTTTCAAGATTGTATATCAATCGTAGTGCTACAATTTAGCAAATTTTGAAAAAATTCTGTTGCCTGGGTTCGTTAGTTATAGGTAGTAGGTGAGCGGTATGTCAACTTAAGGAGTATGCCAATATAACTTGTGAAAGATCTATATAGATTTTGTTCGTTTTTCATCGCTGAATTGAACAAAACAAAAATTAGCGAAAAAGGACAACTTTGGAGAAAGTTATGGCCTAGGATATGACGAGATTTACCAATTTTCAAAAATTCGTAACTTCGTTAAAAATGTATATTGGCTTCTCAAACTTTGTAGGATTGTTTAACTATTTTAGTAATACAAAAATACAAAATTTGAAAAAAATCGGTTGGGAGAATAAAAAGTTATAAAATTTAACTACTACCCCTCACAAATGAGAGAATTGACCATTTTTCCTGCATCTGACCATTTTATAACTCTTCTTCTTCTGACCCTTTCTCTTGTTTACAATAAAGTCAGACGCACGAGAGATGCAATAGAATGTGGAGAGTACATAGATATTTAATTTAAATTTTGGCGTTATGTTTAAGGAAAAGAGTTAGCTAGTTTTCGTGCGTGCGTCAACGGGCTGATACTGCTGTGTCGTGTCATTACGTTGGGTATAATTGAGTACCGCCGTTTGAGTACTCAAACGGCAGTACTCAACAGGTGGTACTCAAAAGTCTCGCTCCCTTGCGGTACACCTCAATTGAGTCCCGACTCAATTGAGTCCCGGACCCTATAACTTATGAAGGGATGGTCACTTTTTTTTGCTCTTGGTACTATTGGATAGGGCATTAAATAGGCTACAATATACCAAAAAATCAAAATTCCTGACCGACTGGTAAAAAAGTTATGATCGATAAAGTGCCGAAAAATCAGATTTTTTTGAAAAAGTTAGTTTTTAGATCATAACTTTTTTATCAGTTGGTCAAAAATTCTGATTTTTTGGTATATTGTAGACCATCTAATGCTCTATCTAATGGTACCAAAAACATTAAAAATCATCAACCCGTACTTGAGTTATAGGGCCGGGACTCAATTGAGCCGGGACTCAGTTGAACTGCTCCGGCCGGAGCAGGACGAATGGGCGCGGCCGAATGGGCGCGGACGAATGGGCGCGGCCGAATGGGCGCCGAGACGAATGGGCGCGAGACGAATGGGCGCGGGACGTTTGGGCGCCCGAAATTATTTTTTCCTAGAAATTTTTTTCTGATTTTTCTGTTTTGATTTTTTCTTCTGATTTTTTCTTCTGATTTTTCTGTTCTGATTTTTTGTTCTGATTTTTTGTTCTGATTTTTTCTTCTGATTTTTTTCTTCTGATTTTTTCTTCTGATTTTTCTGTTCTGATTTTTTGTTCTGATTTTTTGTTCTGATTTTCTGTTTTGATTTTTTCTTCTGATTTTTTCTTCTGATTTTTCTGTTCTGATTTTTTGTTCTGATTTTTTGTTCTGATTTTCTGTTCTGATTTTTTCTTCTGATTTTTTTGTTCTGATTTTTTCTTCTGATTTTCTGTTCTGATTTTTTCTTCTGATTTTTTTGTTCTGATTTTTTTGTTCTGATTTTTTGTTCTGATTTTCTGTTCTGATTTTTTCTTCTGATTTTTTTGTTCTGATTTTTTCTTCTGATTTTTTTTTGTTCTGATTTTTCTGTTCTGATTTTTTGTTCTGATTTTTTTGTTCTGATTTTTCTGTTCTGATTTTTTGTTCTGATTTTTTTGTTCTGATTTTTTTGTTCTGATTTTCTTTCAGTTTATTTCATTTTCCGTCGTTTCTGAGCAGGGGTGAGCGCAGGAGGCAATTGTGAAACACGTAAAACGCAAGAAGCACAAACCTACTCCCCATATGGTTTTTCGATTTTCGGGGACCTATATCTCGGTCCACAGGCATCTCCGGAAAAAAAGAGTGGTAAGGTTCGACTCAACTCGCCAAGACGAATCGAATGGTATTGGTTTTGTGTCGAAACCTTTCCACCGGTATACTATACTATATCCAAAAATCAGAAGAAAAAATCAGAACAGAAAATCAGAAGAAAAAATCAGAACAAAAAAATCAGAAGAAAAAATCAGAACAGAAAATCAGAACAAAAAAATCAGAACAAAAAAATCAGAACATAAAAACAGAAGAAAAAATCAAAACAGAAAAATCAGAAAAAAATTTCTAGGAAAAAATAATTTCGGGCGCCCAAACGTCCCGCGCCCATTCGTCTCGCGCCCATTCGTCTCGGCGCCCATTCGGCCGCGCCCATTCGTCCGCGCCCATTCGGCCGCGCCCATTCGTCGTGTACCGGCTCCGGCTCCCTTGTCATTTGGGCCGCATGTTTTCAAACCTTTTGAGTCTTATTAATTTTTAATTTTTTTAATAAGAGAAAATCAGTTTTTATGAACTATAAAAATTTTAATACTTTTGAACTATATCTGAGAACAAATGGATGGAAAGGTAATTGATCCTGAACAAAAAGAAAAGCTTGTAGAAATCCTTCAATTACTTATTAATGCTGGTTATTTTCGTGCAAAAATTCAAGGGCTAGATATTTTTGATAAGGCAGGATTTTATTTTATTAAATTCTTTTTTTTTAATTTAAAGATTATTGGAGGAATGGTTTGGTGTATTTCACTTTGTGCTGGAAATGTTGAAGTTGATTTACTTTATTCAGAAAATTCAACTATTGGCCAAAAAATGTGTTAATACATTCTTTTCTTTATTCTTTAATTTCCTTTTTCTATTTTTAGTACTTTGACTGAGAAGATAGTTAAAGTTCTTCCAGAAATTAAATGCCCTTATTCTTTAGAACCTCACCAAATCCAAGGATTGGATGCTTTTCATATTCATCCAGTTATTGTGGTAAATAAATTTTAATAAAAAAATTTTTAAAAAAATTATTTTAATTTTAGTGGCTCGTAAAGGAGGCTGGTTATGTTCGGGAAAGGCTAGGTGATGAAACTTTAAATTTTGCTGTTTATCAATTTGAGCAACAAGGATGGACATTGGGAGATGAATTGGTTTTTGTTATTATTTAATAAAGATTTTTTCAAATTTTTAGAATGAAATTTGTGGTTCAGGTGTTTTGCCTTTAGTTAAAAAATCTCGAAAAGTTTATAGGTATTTTAATTATTCCTTTTTTATTTTTTATTTAAAAATTTTAGAAGAGTTATTCGAATGCAATATCCAACAGAAACAAATTTAAAGACGATAATAGATTCAGACATTTCTAAAAAATTTAGTGAAGATGAACAAATAAATAAAGAATTGGAAGAAGAGGATTTGTTGATAATTCAAGAAAGTGATGAGAAAAGCGGAATAACTTATTCTAGCGAGAGAGGAGAACAAATGATAGACAACAAATATCAAAAAGATATGAGAGAAGAAGAAACAAAAGATGATTTGGAGGAAGAATTTAAAAAGGTTTTGAAAATTTTGAGAAAAATTAATTTTTGTTTAAAATTTTTCTCATTGATTTTGGGAATTTAGGGTTTTTTTCTTTTCTTAAAAAAGAAAAAGTTATTCTGCCCGCTTAATAATTTTTTTTCAAATTTTAGTTGGAACTTGAAGAGAATTGTGTAAATACTCAAATAGAGGCAGCTGAAATGCTTGTAGTTAAATTACAAAATGAATTAAAAATAATAGAAGAACAGAATATTACCAAAGAAATTCAATCAAAACCAAAAGAGTATTTAATTAATTTAAATAAAAAATTATTTTAAATTTTAGAATATTTGAAGAAATGAAAACTTTATTGTCTGAAAGAGATGAATTAAAAGCAGTTGAACGTTCTTTTAAATTTCAATGTAGAGAAGAATTATCTAAATTAGAACAAAAAATAGAAGAAATTGAGGGAAATAATGAAGAATCTTTAAATGAAGAAAATAAAAATGGAAAAAATTTAAAAGAAAAGAAGGGAGAAATACTTTATTTAGAAATTGCTTCTTTAAATAAAGAAATTGCAAAGTTGGCACGTCAAGTAGGAGCAAAACCTTCACAAGCAGAAATGGCACAATACCAAAGAAGATTTGTTGAATTGTGCAATCAAAGTAAAAATTTTGTATTTTTTAAATTTTGGAATGTTTGGGGAATTAATTAAATTTTTGGAAGAAATATTTATTTTTAATTTTCTCATTTTTTACATGTTGCGTTTCATATTTTTTAATTTTGGTCCATGCGCTCGTACTTGGTTAGTGACAATGAAAAGGAGGAGATTCTTTACTTAACGAATATTTTAATTTAAAAATTGTATCCCTTAGGATAATTAAATATATCAAATACTTTTTGAAATTTAACTTTTATTTTAAACTTCAAAGTGGTTACTAAACATCATGAAACTAAACGGCAATACACTCAATATAACACTTTGGTGGATGTTAGAACTTTTATGAGACAAGTAAATAGAAATTAAAATATTTTTTTTATTTTTTAATATTTTAGGAAATTGATTTACTGGATAGCATTGATAGACAACGAGATTTGTTTGTATTTTTATTTTTTGGTAAAAACTTGGAGAAAAAGGGATCTGTGACTTAAATATCACCTATTCTCCCTTCTTCATTTCAGGGGGTGGGCTTTATTACATCCTTTGGGTAATTAGTTGAGATTTTATGAATTTTGTAAAGAAGTTGGTAGTTTTCCGTTTTACCACACACCCACTATAAGATATTATTTGTCTGTCTTGATAAAGAATTTCGCTCGGCTCGCCAATTCAAGGCGTCTTCCATTCAAAAATACTAACAATTTTTTATTATTTAATTTATATTTTTATTTAGAGCTCAGAGAGAAGAATATATTGATTCTTTATTGGAAAATCTTCAAAAAATAGCAAAAGGAATTGACGAAATTTTAGATAAAGTAATTGAGAAAATATTTTTATTTAAAAAATAATTTTTAGAAACTTTTCAAAAAACGTTCTATTCAAGAGCAAAGAGATCAATTACAAGAACAATTGCAATCATTACTAGACAAACAAAGACTTTATACAAAAACATTGGCTGAATTCCAACAGGTATAAAGATATTAAATAAAAAATGTATTTAATATTTTGTTAGGAATGTCAAAGGAATGAATTTCTTAGACGAAAACTTGAATAGAATGAGAGAGGATTGAAATTTTTTAAATTATTAAAAATTTATTTTAATTAAAAATTTATTCTATCATTTTAATTACAACTAAAATATCTAAAATATGTAGTTAGAGAGATCACAAGATATTCTATCCATGTTAATAATTTGATTTTATTTACTGTATCTAGTCGAGTTCCAAGTCTATAGTGCTTTTCGGTTTGTTTTATGAACTTTTCAAAATTATTTTTTAGCTAAAAATATTCCTGAGAAAATATTGAATATACTTACACAAATATTTAAGCTTTTTCATAAATTTTTATTCAATATAGCAAAAGGCAATCTATATTTCCAACCCACAAAAAGTTGACCTGCTTTCTAATAAATTTCAAATAGATAGGTCACTTATTTTCTTAGAAAAATGTCTGGGTCATTTTTGATAGAGGAAGGACCGCTCTAAGAAGGTAGAAAATAAACCAAACTGTTCTGCTTTTTTAAAAAAATGTTTCGCTTCTTTCTTTCTGTGTGGCATACCTCAGTAAATACAACAAGTTAACTAGAAGTTCCGTTAGTTTATTTACAAATATACATATTTTGATTTTTTAGAAAAATATATTTACCAAGTTCCTTTACCAAGTAAAAACTTTTCAAGAGATTATAACTTTTCAAGAAACTTTTCAATAAAATTTTTCAATTTTTCAGATTTTCCTTATTAATAATTAAAAATAATATATTTATTAAATCCTTTTTTTGAAAAATGAGTGAATCTTCAGCAAAATCCGTAGATGAATGTTCTTGTGGTGATGATGAGCGATCTTGTTATACATCAGAATGGATGTATAACAATAATTGTAACGATCGAATTAAAATTTTGGAGGTCTTTGAAAATTTTAAATTTAAAAATAATTTTTTTTTAATTAAAAAGGTTAATAAAGAAAAAGTTGGATTTGCAATTAATTTGGTTAACACAAAACTTGATTCTGTAAATTTTTAAAATTTTATTTAAAAAATTTTTTTGTAGCAAAATCAATTATTACAACAAATTTTATTTTTGCAACAACAAAATTTTTGTAAAGAAAATTCAAAGGAGAAGGATAATGTTTTTGAAATTCAACAAATTGTTATTCAACAATTGGAAGAAAAAATAAATTGTTTGGTTAAGGAAATGAATGAACAGGTGAAAGGAGAGTAAATAATTTTTAAAAAATAATTTTTTGTAGTCAAAATTACATGATCAACAAATGATGGAATTTAAAGAATTAATGAATGAAAAATTAAATGAACAGGCAAATTTTGTTAAAAGTTTAAGGGAAAATAATAAAATTATTATTTTTTAAAAGGAGGGGGAAATCATTAGACGAAAAGTCAGAAAAAATATAATTATGGGACAGAGTGTACATACATTTTTTGTCAATCAAAATTGAAGAAATTTAGAAAAAAATTACTAATTTAGAAAAATTAGGCTTTTCAGTTGGGTTGGGTACAGTAATTCCGCGTTTTGAGATTCCATATGGTCTTAGGTTTTGCTCAAAATCAAACTAGGAACTGTCGGGGGTTTTCAGATATCAAATATGTATGTAGAATATTTGTTGATTGACACTTATTTGTTAGGGGAAAGCTCCATTCTTCTTTAATAAAAAATTAATTTATTTTAGTCAGAATTATATAATCAACAAATCAAAACTTTTGAAGAAAAAATTGCAAAAAATAATTTTGAGAATTTAAAAGAAATATATTCTATTCAAGAAAAACTTTTGGAAAAAATTGAAGAAAAGAATAATGTTCGTGTTTTTTAAATTAAAATTAAATATTTAATTTTAATTTTAGGAAGGAGTAGATAATAAAAAATTAAAAGAAATTAAAGAAAAAATTAAATTATTAAATAAAGAAAGTGTTGATAAATTTAATGAAATTAAACAAGTTATTTTAGATCAGTCAGAAACTACTTTAGTTTGTTTTTTAGTTTTTAAATTAAAAATAAAATTATTTTTTTTGAAGAATAAATTTTCTGTCAAACAAAAATTAATTGAAGAATTAAAAGAAAAATTAGCTTCAAATGAAAATAATGTAGATTCTGTTCAAGAATTAATTGGGGAACATTCTGATAAATTGAAGTTTTTACAAACACAAGTTGATGTAAATTTAGAGAAATTAAAAAAGAAAATATTTTTTTATTTTTTTTGAAAGGTTCTCCAAAATCATCGAGATTTGTTTGGGCGTGTAGATGAAGTAAATAAATTAATTTTAAATTAATTTTAATTTTTAAAAGGTTGAACGTTCAGTTTTTGATATTAATGATAAACTTACCGATTTGTCAAATGATTTAATTCAATTAAAAAAAGAGAATTGGAATCGAATGGTAAAATTTAAATAATTTTTTAGAAAAGGAATTGGGGAATTTTTGTTTAAAAAGGATGGGTAATTTGAAGTTTGTACACCCCCCTCAAAAGAGAGGGGGGGGGGGGTACGAACTTCAAAATTGCCTTGTTTTGTTTTGAATATTTCCCGACAGTCCTTCCTCTTAAATTAAATCTAAATTTGTTAATTTAATAGTTGAATAACCATAACTAATAGTAAAAAAGGGCTAATTTCTCCCAGTAAAAATCGAGATTGTCTGAAGAATAAAATTAAATTTAAACTTTAATTTTTCTATTTATTTAGAGTTATATTAATTTTGGGAATAGATGGGGATATGTAGCAGATACATTTGCAGCTACACAAAAAGTACCTATAAATAATAATTTATTTACAAATGAATTGGGTACTGTTAAAATTAGTGGAGATCAACATGTTGAATATATTCCATCAGAAAAAGCAAAAAGTAAAATTAAAAATATTTTAATTAATTTTAAAATTCAAAAAAGGTATAAATAACATGATTAGAGTTTATGGCCAATTTAAATTTAATAAAGAAGCAGCAGAACCAACATGCAATTCTCTCTTTTATTTTGAAGTTAAATTTAATATTGTTAAAAAACAATCAGAGAAAGTAGATATGGCATCAATTGGAGTAGATAGTATAAACGGAATTGTTACTTTTGTTTCTTCAATGATGCCTGATAATTGTCCAAAATGTGTTTATATTTGTTGTTCTAAATATGGAAAAATTCGTTTTCCTGAAGAAACTTGGAAGGATGGGGATGTTTGTGGATGTGGGGTTGTCCTTCCCCCTAAGAGTTTTTCTGATAAAAAACCTTATATTTTCTTTACAAAAAATGGAAAATTATTTGGTAAATGACGGGGAATATATTCTTAGAAAATTATTTAAAATTTAAGGGAAAGCTGTTGCTTTAGAAAATATAGCAGATTTATTCCGTCCATTTATTGGTGTACATTCATGTACTGTTGATGGTAATTTTGGGGAAGATTTGGAGAAAAAGCCTTTTTTGTATGATACTACTAAACATGTTACTCCGACAATTTTTAAAGTAAAAGAATTTGATTTGGTTGCTAAATATGCATAATTAATATATTTTTTTGTTTTTGTTATAATATTTATTCATTTTTATTCACTTTTGTTTTTCTTTTAATTTTTATTAAATAAATTTATTATTACAATAAAGGATGTATTCATTTTGGTTGTGAATTTTTTGTGAACCCTTTGTGAATTTTTTTGTTAAAAATGATCACTGTTAGCAGATTATAGAACTCATCGAGCTGAGTCGAATGACACCAAAATCAGCGTAATTAAACAAGATATGACATACTTGCACAAAACCCTGCTCATCACCCAGGGTTCTTGCCTGTATGGCCAAGAAAGGGGGTTGATTTTGGTTCGATATTAAAGTTCAGACTTCTGATTTATTTATAAGTCCTATCCTCTTTCTACCTATCCTCTTTCTATTATTTAATAATTAGTTAGATATATCATTGAGTAATATAGATACACTTGAACGCAAGTTTCGTTTTACCTAAAGAAGCAATAGATATAATTATACAAGTGGCTTTCGCTAAGTTAATGATCTTATTTTAGTCAATCTCTTCCAAAAATTTCCCCCTAAAAATAGTCCCTAAATCAAAATAAATTTAAATTAATCCAAAATGTCAGTTTCCCAGTCATTCTTATTTTTCTTTTATTTTTTCCAAAATATTTATTTTTTAAAAACTGAAAAAACAATTTGTGAACATTTTTTAATAAAATTGCCAGAAAATTTTCCTTTATTTTATCAACGTATAGAAACAAAAAATGGTATTTTAGAATGTACAGAACGTTGTATAGATGATTGGGAAATGTGCAAAAGTGTTTTATTTGTTGTAAAAAATGTTTGAAAAATTTATTTGAAAAATTTAAATTTCATTACCTCAGGCAATCTAAAAAATCTTTTTTTTTCTAAGGGGAAACAATTATGTCAGTTTTATGGCCAAAGTCTCACACAATATTTTTCTTCATTTTCTCCAAATCTTCAATCAAAAATTGAAAAAGAAAAATATATTATATTGGAATTAAAAGACCCTCCTTGTCTTCAAAAAATATTTGAGGAAAATTTTGATTTATTAAAATCTATAAGCCCTTCTAGAAGGGAATTATTATTTTCAATTCCGTCTGAAATTAAATTAAATAAAGAAAAATTAAATGAACAAGAGGAAAGAAGTGGAGAAATGGAAGGAGAAAATTTTAATAATTTTGGTAATTATGTAACTTGTAAAAAGTCGACATTCGTTATTAGCGACTTTTTAAGAAAAAATATTTAAATCTTATCCATTGGCAAGGTTTACTACCCAAGAATGTTAACAAATTACTGATTATTGACGATCCCGTTATAGGCGACTTTCCATTTTAGATTTCTAATGTCGCTACTAAAGAGAGCTGACATTAAACTAATTTATGATATTTTTTAAACAAGAAAATATTAAGTGTCAGAAGGAATAAAATTGGCCGATGATCCATATATTGAAATAGATAAAAATGGAAAAGTTGAAGCTGAAAAGCCTATCCAGCCATTAATTGTTTCTAGAGGACTTTGGGGGCAAAGATGTAGAGGTTAGGGAAGGAATGCAAAGGGCTAAATTCAAAAAAAATTAAAAGGAGGTTATTGCCGTTTACAATTTCAAAAAAATCAACAAAATCCTCCTTGTCCAGCTCTAAAAATTAATGATCCTTGTGCTCCACAACCTCAATGGATGGAGTGGACAGAAGAAAGTTTATGTTCTGTTAGTTGTGGAAATGGAACAAAAAAATTAAGGAGATATTGTTCCAGTGGGAAAAGTGGGGATTGTAAAGGTTTCTTTAAATAATAATTAGTTAAAATTAATAATAAAAAGGTGAAGATACAAAAATTCAGCAATGTTCAATGCCTTTTTGTAATTATCAATGGAAAGATTGGACAGAATGGACAAAGCATAAAAAACTTCTTTAAATTAAAATTTTAAATAAAATAATTTAAGATGTTCTGTTAAATGTGGAGGGAATGGAAAAAGAATTCGTTATAGGGCAAGAAAATAAAAAATAAATAAAATTATTTTTTAAAGATTATTTAGGAATGTAAAAGTAATGATAATAAATGTATTGGACCTTCTACAGATTTTAGACCGTGTGGAGAAAATTTATGTCCTTCGGTTTTTAAAAGAAATAATAATTATAAATTAAAAAAAAATTAATTTAGTGGTCAAATTGGGGAGAATGGGGGCAATGCTCATTAATGTCAAGTAGTTGTAGTGGGGCTGGAATACAACAAAGTTTAAAATTATTTTAAATAAAAATTGGCAAAATTATTTGGTCTTCAAGAAAAAGAGATTTTTTGATTTTTTTTGTTATCATCATTAAATAATTGAATGTGGTGATTATAATCTCAGATCTGGGTAGACCAAAACGAATTCGCATTAGAAAGAGACCAATTACTTTTACCCAAAAATACTAAATTTAAAGGAAAACGTGATTGTTTAATAAATAAAAATGGAGGGGGAAATAATGAATTAATTGAATGTGAAGGATTAGCTTTTGAACAAAGAAATTGTGAATCTACAACAAACAAAAATTGTCCAATTTGGGGTAATTGGGGAGAATGGTAATTTGAGAAAGAGAATTTGTTGTTTAAAACTATAAATTAAGGACATCTTGCTCTAAAAAATGTGGAGGAGGGGAGAAGATTCGCCGTCGTGAATGTTTAATGTCTAAAAATAATCAAAATTCTGAGGAATGTAAAGGCCCAAAAATAGAACATTTATTATGTAATACACAAAAATGTCCATCTTGGTCAGAATGGACAGATTGGAGTTTATGTTCTAAAAGTTGTGGAGAAAAAAGTTTAAAAACAAGAAAAAGGTGTGCTTGATTTAAAAAATAAATTAAAATATATTTAAGAGAATGTTTAAATAATGAATATCCAAATATTGAATGTGAAGGTATTTCGAGAGAAGATAGTGAATGTAATTTAAATAAATGTCCAGAATGGGGAGAATGGAGTGAATGGTTAATAAATTTAATTTTTTTTTAATTATTAAATGAGAGAGAGAAAATAATTAGACAAAATATTAAAGAATTGGAATTTTTAAAATGAAAATTATTTTTAAAAATATTATTAATCAAAAACAGGTCAGAATGTTCTGGTAATTGTGCTCGTGGAAAGCAGACACGGTTATTTTAGATTAAAATTAAGGAGGATATTGTAATAATTTTAACAATGTAACATTTCTATTTTAAAAAAGATCTCGGGAATGTCTTCCCTATGGTTTTGGCTGTTCCGGAGGAACAAAAGCAGAAAAGGAATTTAAATTTTGTCAAAATAATAGATTACCTGTTTGCTATGTAAATTTAAAAATAAATAAATATAAAATAAACTTGTTTAAGTATTTTGATCAGTGGAGTGAATGGAGTGGATGTAGTGTTACTTGTGGAAAAGGATTTTGTGAGCGTCAGAGAAAGTTTTAATTTTTAAATATTTTTTAATAAAATAATTAAAAGATGTTTAAAAAAAGAAAATTCTGAAATTAATAATAAAAATAATTCATTTAAAATTAAAGAAGAAAATAAAGAAGAAGAAGAGAGGGAAGAAGAAAGATTTCCAATACCTGAAGTAAAATTAAATAAAAAAATTATTTTTAAATATTATTTTTTGTAGAGAATATCAAGTCCATTAAATAATCAATTAAAAGACAAAAATAATGATAATAATTATGATGGTATAATAATTATTAATTTAAAAATTTCTAATTAAAAGGTATTCCCTCAACTTCTTTAATTCCCCAAAAACTACAGGTATTTGAATATTTAAAAAATAATATTTTAAAAATATTCTTTTTTATGTTTCTCAAAGTTCAGCACTTGAAAGAAGACGTTCACCTTTAATTAGTTCTAAATTAATATTTAGAGAAGAATGGAATGATAAAAAATTATTAAATATAGAAATGGAAGAAGAGAATAAATGTGGAGGGAATTTAATTGAAAGAAAAGCTTGTGATGCTGGTAAATTAATTAAATTAGAATAGTAAGGGCGAGGTAAAAGTTTAAACACGGCCTCCTGGCAGTTATTGCTAGGCGCTTTCGCTCACCACGTACAGGTGCTCTACCGACTGAGCTACCAGGACGTTGCTTTCACCTTCTCCTTTAATTGATCTTCCTCTTCCTTACAAAATTAAATAATTAATTAAAAGGTCCTTGTTGTGAATGGAGTATTTGGAGTGAATGGAGTAATTGCCAAATTAATTGTAATAATAAAAAAAGAATTCAGAATGAAGGAGGATTTAGACAAAGAAAACGTGAATGTATTTTTGAATTTAAAAGTAAAATTAAATTTAAATTAATTTAAATTTAATTAAAAAAAAGATTTTCTTCCTTTTAAAAATAAATGCTTTAAATGTATTGGTGAATGGCTACAAACAAAAAATTGTAATAATAAAACAATCTCAAATTGTAATTTAAACGAAGAAGAATATTTAAATAATAATAAACAACCGGAAACTAATTCTATAATTAAAAATTTCCAATTAATTCCAAGGAATCGAGGAAATGAAAATAATTAAAAGAAGAAAATATGAAAAATATTAAAAATAAATATATTTTAATTATATAATTTAAAATAAATTAAAAATTTTTTTAAAATTATTGTCGTGAAAATAATTCAGATTTTTAAAGTAAAAGTTAAAAATTTTTGGTTTAAATTTTTGATACTTTTTATGTTTTATAAACTTGTTACTGACCAGAAATAACCAAGCCAAACTGTTTGCCTTTAAATTAGGAACAAAAACTTAAATTTTCAAAATCACAGCTTTTCAAATAATCTAATAATTGTTTTCTTTAATTAATAAAATTCTTATATATTTTATTTTTAAAATAAAGATAACCGGCAAAATTACAACAAAAATATTTTCAAAAAACAAAAATTAAATCCTTAAATACTTAGAAATAAAAAATAAAATAATTAAAGAAAATAAAATTAAAAATTTCAAATTTTTTCCTCTTTTTAAAACAGAAGAAGACCCTCCATTACATCTTTCACCATAACAAGTACATAATTGCAAATTTCCTGTAACTGCCACTTCTAATTGCCTTGGCTGATTAAATAAATGGGCGCGGGGTAATTGACGGCATTTGTCTACCTTTTTTTAAGAAGAAAATTTTTTACAAAATTATTTTTGAAATACTTGTGCAAATCTATGTATTTGTATAGCCGTTTTATTAAATCCGTGTCGAAGAATTAAATCCCCACACCCACGAATATATTTAAAACCAACAAAAACACCTTTAAAAATATATTATTTTTCAATATTCACAATCTAAAAAAACTAACCAGCCTCAACACTCGGCTCTAACATTGACACACAAAATGAGGCACATAAAACAGTCGGTATAAGGCCTTTTCGAGGAATTGGAGCATCACAAGCATCGGCAAACATCTAAAAATTATTTTCTTTAAAATAAGCTTGAAATAAATAATCAACTTTTGGGGCAAAATACATTTCTTTCAAAAATCCCCATTTTGCCTGATAACTGGAAGACATACAAGAATAACATTCAAATGGTTGTGTCATTGCTTTAATTATGTAAAAAATAAAAAATTTATTTAAAAATAATTTTAAAAAATAATTATTTTGTTAGAAAATGTTGGGGTTTAAAATTAATTGAGACTTGAAAATTTGGAATATTGAATAATAATTTGATTATCCATCCCGCCCCCCCCCTTTTTTTAATTTTAAATTTTCCTAAACATACCAAAAACAAAAATATTTGTTTTAATTAAAAATATTAAATAAATTATTTGTTTAATAAATAATAAAAAATAATTGTAGAACATTTTAAATGAGGTTAATTAAAGGAAATAGATTCATTTAAAAACTTTAATTTGTTGAATTTTTAAAATAATTTTTAAAAATAATTTTTAAAAATAATTAAGAGAAGATTAATTTCTTTTTTAAATGATTAATATAAAAATATACTAAAATTTAAAACATAATTTTAAAGTAATTAATCTTTGTAAAAATAAATTAGTGTAAAAAATTGAAGGATTTTTGTGGTTAAAATAAATAGGTGGTAAGTGAATTATTAAATAAATGACCGATTGAGGAGAATAAACAGGTGGTAAAGAAAGAGGAGAGAGTTAAAAATAAAAAAAATAAATTTACTAAAAAAATTCTAAAGAAAATTGCCAAAATTAAAAAAATAAAAAAATAATTAAAAATTTTAATGGAAAATAGAAAGAAGAATATTGAAATTGAGAAGGATTGAAGAATATATACATAATCTTTAAAAAATATTTTTTGACACAAAATAAATGAGTAAACAATTTTCCATTAATTTATTTGTTTACTTTTTAATTTTTAAATTAAAAAAATTTTATAATTAAATTTAAATTTAAATAAATAAAAGGAAATGAAATTTTTGAAAATAAATTGGAAATTCAAAAAAAAAATAAGAAAAGAGGGAGATTACTTTAAATGGAAAAGTGGACCAATCATCTTCTCGTTTTGAGTAAGGAAGAAGGTATTGAAGAAGTAAAGAACGCCCAAGAGTAAGTTAAAAAAGAAGTAAAAAAAGGGGGGAAGGAGGGGGGAGGGGAATAGATTAATATCTTTCCGTTTTTGGGCAAAGGAAAATATGTGCCCAAAATTGTTGAAGGAGAAAAAAGAAGAAGATGACCAAAAGTATTTAAAGTGGATAGAAACAAGTCCGATTATTTAAGACTTAAATTAAAATGAAGAAGAGGAAGGGATGGGAAGAATTTTATTTTGAATAAAATGAAGGGAATAAAAATATTTATTTTGAAAGGATTGAGGAGATTGAAGAGTTTAATAAAAATAAAATTCTAAAATCAAAGATTATATAAAATTTATATATCTCTCTAATTTATTATTATGAGATTAATTTTAAGATAAATTTAATTTATTTAAAATTATTATTTCTGTAAACCATAAAAATATTTATTTGAAAAGAAAAAAATTTAAAATAAATTTAATGAATATCCTTTGACGTTACAATCCAATTAAAATGATTTTAAAAATCCCATAATAATATTAAAGTAGAAATATTTGCGTGTTTTCCAAATAAAAATAAATTTATTGGCATATTAAAAAGTTTATTTTATCGTTTTTATTCGATACACCTGTAAATACGGGCATTTGATGAATAAAAATATATTTATGAAAAAATATTAAAATAGTCCCCCCTCCCTCCAATTCAGAAATGTCTTTAAACAGAAAAAGCACGAAAACACGCTATTATTAAATGCGCCTCCTCCACAAATTGGAGGCAAAAGGACTTTGTTAAAAGGTGAAAAGAAATTTAAAAAAATAAAAAATTTAGAATTTTTTTTTAAATTTCCAACAGAGAATTATTTAAGAAGAATTTTATTATTTAAAATATTTTTTAATATAAAAATATTGAAGCTTTAATAGAAATTGTTGTCCTTTTTATTACACATAGAGAAAAAAAAAGAATTAATCTCCTTCCCCAATGTTGGCAACATAATTGGATTTTCTTATTATTTTTTTTTCAAATATATTTTTAAACAATTTATTTTGTAACAAAAAAATATTTTTTTTGGAATTATTTTAATTAAAAAGAAAGCTTACTAAAAGTTTTTTTGCGGAATCGAACATTAAAATCATTTTCTTGTTTGAGTGAAACACGGACAAATTCGGCCATTAATTCATTTTCCAATTCTGTTTCAGTTTCTTCCCGTCTCTTTTCTGATTTGGTGGATAAATTGGGATCCTTAAAAATTTTAAAAAAATTTGTTAAAACTTGGGACAGTAAAACAATTTTCAAATCTAAATAAATACGTCTCCCTCCCCCTTCCTCATCCACATCCTCCTCCTCCCCCCTCTTCCCTTTATACTTCTAAAGTTTTTTCTCCCAGCTTTAAAATTTAAATAATTCAAAATTATTTAATTTACTTGTTGTTGTTGATAATCCTCATCATCATCAGAATTTATTACACCAAAAAATCTTCGTTTCCTTCCTCTTATTTTTTCATTTCTTCTTCTAAATCTAATATTTTGTTCTTTTTTTAATTTAAAATTATTATTGAATATTTCGTTTAAAATTAAATTTTCTGTTGTTGAAGATAAAAAATTATTTGAGGATGAAATATTTTGTTGGGAATTTACAAAAATTATTTTTTGAGAAATTTGGAAAGAAAATAACATTAAAATAAATAATAAAATAATTAAATAATTAATTAAATTAGGTAAAAAATATATTTGTTGATTACTAGACAGCATAGCATTTTTCTTTAAAAATAAAAAAAATAATATGTATTTTTAAATAAAACAAAAAACTAAAAAAAGAGCTTTCATAATTCCAAGTTTTGTAGCTGTGGAAATGACATGTAATTTACAAAAAAAAATAAAAACACCTTTTTTTATCAAGTAAATAATGGAATATAATATGTAATTAAACATGGAGATCCCGTTGGGAGCTCAGCATGAAAAAAAAAAGTATTTAGAGAGGGCAACTACTAGTTAAATGGCACAAAGTCGGAAAGGAAAAAATGTAAAAAAATAATAATAAAGGATGAATAAAGGACGTGGATAGGATATAATTATTAATAACTTTAAAATGTGTGAATAAAAATTTTTTTGTAAAAAAATTTAAATAAAATTATTTTATTATTTTTATTTTTACAATTCCAAAAATAATTTGTTGGAGGCAAAAAAAATAATAGAAAAAACTAAAGAATTTTGGAAGATTTCATTCAATCACAAAAAATACTCTTTTAATATATTAGTTAGCCCATCAGTCAACAGTTAATGATTTAGTTAAAAAGTCGAGAGTAAAAGATTGATGGAAAAGGATTATTTTTTGACAGAAATTGATTGACTTGAAAATGAGGTGAAAATGAAGATATTAAATAGATTAGTAATATTTGTGTGTGTGGTTTGTATTTTAGTAGAAAAAAAAATAATAAATTAATTATTATAAAAAGTTATACCATTTATTTTTTAATAACTACCCTGGGTAATTATTATTTCGACCTTCCGCTGGAGGGAGTAATTAATCGAAGGGAGGGTAATTATACGAGGTTTGAAATTTGAACGTGTTTTAGGACATTTGTTTGGAGGTAATTATTATTTCAATCTATCGCTAAATGGTGTAATTAATGGAAGTGGGGTAATTATTTGAGGGAAGGCAATTAATACAGGCTATTCGGTATTTAAATATCCACAAATTTTTATAGAAATCTTAAATTAATATTTTATATAAAAATAATAATGAATAATTTTTTCTCTATTTAATTCAGCTTTATTAATTCAAATAAAATACAAATAAAGGCAAAAAATAAACTATCAAAGCCGTGGGAAATGCTGAATTAAAGGCAAAAATGCTGTAAGGAATTGCGGCATTTTTATTCCTTTTTTGACTTAAAAGCGGTTAGCCAGATTCATCAAAACCATAAAAGCATTTATTCGTTTTTATTGTGCCTCTTGACGCAGAAAAATATTTATGGAGAGGAAAAACCAAATAATGCCTGGTCCTTTGGGATGCCAAAGTTTGAAAAAAAAGTCAGAAAAAAGTGGCTAACTGGGAAGGAAAAATATTATAAAGGAAAATATTAATGGGTAAATTATTTTGTGTACTTTTTTTTGTTAAAAAATAACCTCAAAATCAGAATCCTTGTAGTCATTCTACAGAAATCTATCAACAAAAACTGACCGATTTTTAATTTTGTTTCTGGATTTTTACTATTTTTCTCGCTTAGATACCACTGCCTATTTGCTCTTGCATTAACCTAGTATGTTTAATTCACTCTCGAATTTCATAACCAAAATGGCAACAAACCCGAAAACATTCAGAAACAAAAATTAAGTTTTTATTGTTTAAATAAATCCTTTAAAAAATCTTTTAATGATAAATTCCGTTCCAACATAGGTTGACATCCCCTAATTTCTCCGATAAGTCAACTTAGTTTTGTCTAATTTTTATAATTTTTTTAAATATTGATACAGCAGCAAAAATTACCTTATTTTACAAAAAAATTTTAGATAAGCAAAAATTTTATCGAAAGTTATGATAAATTTTCAAAAAACGGACTTTAGATCAATCTCTCTTCTCTACCGTATACTTCGTAAATACTCAAACATTGGCACTGAAAGGTAAACAAATTTGTTGAGATTAAGCAGTTTTAGTGCGGATTTCCTAGTGCGGATTTCCTTTGTTATTTTTGTTAAGATTTCTTTAATTTAAGTTTAAGATTAATTTTAAAATTTACAGCTTTATATGAATTCTTTTAATTTATTAAAAACTGCATTACTTCGAAATATCAGATTTAAACCTCAAATTCCTCTTCATTATCAACGTTTTTTATCAATCCAAAGAAACTTATATTTAAGGTAATTTTTGATTAAAATAAAATTATTTTTTAAATTAAAAATAGTAATTTTCAACTTTCTGAAGAAAACAAAAATAAAATTACCAAACAAGAATATATTTCAATACCTAAAAAATTGGCTATTTTGTATACATGCAAAGTTTGCAATTCAAGACAGGTTTATTTAATTTAACGAATAATTTTTAAAAATACCTTTTTAGGGTCCAAAACAATTTTCAAAAACTTCTTACGAACAGGGAATTGTTATAGTCAAATGCGATTCTTGTCTAAATCATCACATAATTGCAGACAATTTGGGCTGGTTCAGCGATTTAGATGGCAAGAAAAACATCGAAGAAATTTTGGCACAACGTGGGGAGAAAGTTCAGAAAGGGATTTTGGAAATGGAGGGAGGGGAGACGGAAAATTAGGTTTTGATTGGTTTTTATATATTTTTAAAATTTTTTATTTAGTTTCCAATTCAAATTTTCCTTCCACAAGTATTTCAGAACAAATTGATATGACCCTTCTCCAACGATCTCTCTTGGGTTTTGGCTCCGCCATAATGTCTATTGTTAGTCCGGAACGTGGAGATATGATTGCAACAATGGGGGAGACAACGGTAAAAAATTTCTTTTTTTTTTATCTTAAATATTTTTTGTGGATAATAACTTTTTAAGGTACCAAAATCTTTACTTATTCATATCCGAGATAGAATGGCCAAAGATGTGACTGGCTCTGAACTTTTGAAAAAGCAACCAAGAATTACTGAAAAAACATTTTGTAGGGAATATTTAGCTAAATTACCTGATGGAACTCTTGGAAGGGAATATTTGAGATTTTTAACTAAATTACATACAAGTCCTGATGCGAGGCCCCCCGTTCAATTTGTTGATGATATTGAACTCGTTTATGTTATGCAACGGTTTGTAAATTATTTTTAAAAAAATTTTTAAAATTAAGTTTTAGTTATCGAGAGACTCACGACTTTAACCATGTTTTACTTCAAATGCCAACTACGATGCTTGGAGAGGTTTATTTATTAATTAGAATTTTTTTAAAAATATTTTGTTAAATTTTAGGTCACTGTCAAATATTTTGAGGCTATTCAACTGGGTAAATTTGTGATTTTTTTTTTGAATAAAAATTAATTTTAGGGCTTCCAATGTGTATTGCTGCGGCTATTTTTGGTGGTATACGACTTGGGCCAAAGTATGGATTAAATGGGAATTTCATAAAATAATTTTTAATTTTAGACATAGAAAACAATTATTGGAAAGAAATTTACCTTGGATTTTGGAACAAGCTTTGGAGGGACGTTTTTTATTGGCAATTGATTGGGAGAATAGATTTGAACAAAATATTGTCGATTTACAAAATGAATTGGGAATTTCTTCTTTAAATTCTTTTAAAGTAAATTAAAATTGTTTTTTTTTGTTGTTATTTTTGTGATAAATATATTTTTGAAAGAATTTTTTAGTTTTTTATTTGCTAACGTTTTATCGTTTATTTATTTTGTTTGTGTTAAATTTGTATTTAACCTTTCAGAAATGATGCAAATGAAAATTTTGATGAATATTCCGTGTAGAATGAAGGTTTGTTTTGTTTAATTAAAAATTTTTTATCTAGCTACGCATTTTGGTTTAATTATTTTTTAATCTCAAGTTCGGACGTTGTCTTCTATCTTCATCAACAAGTAAATTTGCAAGGTTTCAGAGTGGCAGGCTTGGAAATCGATTAAAAAATGCTATCGACACAAAAATGGAGGCAAAACAAAATTATACGCAAGAAGGAGCTGAACTTAGGCCAAAAAGTCATTTATGGAGAGCAGTAGCATTTACAGCTGCGGTTGGATTTTTTTAAATATTATCAATTATATTTTTGTATTAAGACTGGCCTCACAACTTTTTCAATTGCTTCTATATCTGAATACAAAAATACCAAAAAGTCTATCCAAGATCTCAATGATGTTTTGATAGAATTTAAACGAATATATTTTGGACGACAAGAATCTATGAAACGAGTGGATCCTTTAATTGCTACTTTAATAGCAACAAATGTTGCAGTATTTGCACTTTGGCGTTTTTCTAATTTCAGTAAATTCATGAGCCTTTTCTTTACAAATGGATTTGCATCAAGTATATTTAAAAAATTCTTTTTAAATAAATTTAATTGTAGAACTCCTTTGTTTACCAATGTTATTGAGTGTATTTTCACATAGCCATTCTCTACATATGTTTGCGAATATGTACGTATTAAATAGTTTTTCAAATGCAACACTTCAATTTTTAGGAAAGGAGGAGGTGTGGTTATAAATTTATTTTTTAATATAAACAATTTTTTTCGAATAAACCTAGACTTTAGGTAGGCCCGTAGCCAGGTGGCTTTGACGCCAAAAATTCGGCGCAGAAAAATTTCCCCCAATGCCCCCCCCCCCCCCCCCCGATTATTTTTCCTTTTTTTTTAATTTAACAAATCACAACTTTTTCTCAAAATTTTACCTTAATTTTTTAACTTTTCAGTTTCTAGCCTTTTATTTGACTGGCGGGGTTTTTGCTTCACTTGTTTCACTTTGTGTTAAATCTTTTACAAAATCATTATTGCCATCACTTGGTGCAAGTGGAGCTATCGCTGCTTTAATTGGTTATGTTTGTATTGTGGCATCAGATGCTAAAATTAGTATTTTATTTCTTCCACAATTTCAATTTTCTGCTGGAAGTTTGTTTTATTTTTCTTATTTAAAAAAATAATTTAAATTTTTTAGATGCTCTAAGTGGAATTCTTTTATTTGAAACTGCAATGCTTTTTGTTGGAATATTTACAAAATTTAGAATTTTTGACAATGCTGCTCATTTGGGTGGACTTCTATTTGGAATGTTTGTTTTTTTTTGATAAATTCTTTAAAAATTTATTTTTGGTTGTTTTTTTAGTTGGTATGCTGAAAGAGGCGAAGAATTTTATCGACAAACTTTTGCACCTAAATTAGTCAATTATTGGAAGATATCTGGCCTTGGCGGATCTACAAAAAGGGATGATACGCCTATTATTATTTTTGATGGTAAAAAACATATTCATACAACTTTGGACAAATTACATCAAAATCAAAAAGAAAATGACCAACAAAAAGAGGATCTTCAAAATTTTGAATATCACAAACACAATATTGATGAATTAAAAAACAGAATTGATGAATTGAGAGAAAAGGGTGAACGTTTAGAAGCTGATAATGAGAAAAAACTTCGGGCAATTACTCAACAATTGATGAGACGTAAACATTGGGATGAATATCAAAAAGAGAAAAAAGAAAAGCAAAAACATAGAAAAGAACGAATTCTTGAAGAACGAAAAAAAATGAGAATGGAAGAGGATGAAGGAGATGAGGATGAATATCAAAATGATAGGGAAGAAAGATAAAATATATAAAATAAATTTTATTTTTATTTAAAGAAAATTCTAAATTAAAAATTGTTTTTCTTAATTGAATTTTGTTTGTGATTTGGGAAGATTTCCATAAATAATTTAATATATGTACATATTTAAAAAATTTTTTTGTAGGTTATTCACGCATTTGTCTCTAACAGAAATAATTATTTTATTTCAGGATGAAATTCAAAAATTTACCTGTTTTTCTTCCAAAAACTGAATTTCCTGTTTTGCCTAAAAATTCGGAGCGTTCTCGTTTAGACTCGCATCTCAATGCTATTGCTGATTTTTCTGGATTTTATCAGTGGCAGAAGACCCGTAAAACAAATGCACCTTTAAAGGAGTAAGGAAATTTATTTTTTTTAATTTAGACAAAATTAATTAAAAGTATTTTTATTTTGAATTGTTTTACTTCAATATTAACTACATTTTAAATTAGATTTACTATACTTGATGGACCGCCGTATGCAAATGGGAATGTTCATGTTGGGCATGCAATAAATAAATTGTTGAAGGATTTTGTCCTCAAAAGTAGAGTCCAGTTGGGCTATAATGTTGACTTTAAAGCTGGTTGGGACTGTCATGGATTGCCAATTGAATTAAAAGTTTTAAAACAGGAAACGAACAATAAGGTTTTTAATTAATTTTTAATTTAAATAATTAATTTTGAAGGAGCAAGATACACTTCTTTTACGTGCAAATTGCCGTCAAATAGCTGAGAATTCTATCCAATCTCAAATGACTTCATTTCTTCGCTGGGGTTGTTCAGCTGATTTTTCTGATCCTTACATTACAATGAGCCCTAATTATGTCTCTAAACAATTGGAAATATTTGCTCAACTTTATGATCGAGGATTAATTTATAGGAAAATGGGACCTGTTTATTGGTGAGTTTCTAGCATTTAAAAATTTGTTTTTAAATTTTGTTTTTAAATAATTTTCTTTTTCTCTTTTTTCGGTCTCCTTATTCGTGCTCTGCTCTAGCAGAATCAGAACTTGAACATAACGATCAGCATAAAAGCACGGCTGTTTTCTTTGGATTTAGAGTAAATTCTTTCCCTTTTAAATTGTTCGATTTTAATTTTTAGTTAATTAATTTTGATATTGACAAATTACAATGGAAAAATAAATCAGCAATTGCACCCACTAGTAAAAAATCAACACAATTATTTTTGATGGTTTGGACAACAACACCATGGTAGTTAAAAAAATTTTTCTTTTAATTGTTTTTAATATCTTCTTTTCTTTTTTATGACCATTCCATTGAATAATGCAATTGCTGTACATCCTGATATAGAATATGCCGCAATTGAATCACCTGAAGAAACTCGGTTTAAAACATTTCCTTTGTTTATATTTTTTATTTTTTCAGCAAAACTGCTACTCGAAAAATATTTATTGTTGCCAAAGATTTAATCTCTAATATTTCTCAACTTCTTAAAAAAGAATTTCAATTGTTTGGCACAATTAAAGGCGAAGAATTGGCGAGAGATCGTCGATATTTTTATAAAAATGCAATGTATAATGATTTGGCCCAAGAAATTATTGCTGCAGATTTTGTAACTGCAAATATGGGTACTGGTTTAGTACATTTATCTTATGCACATGGACATGATGATTATAAGGTTAGAAAAATTGTTCTTTAAAATCAACTTTTTTTTATAAAGATTGGCTCTCAACGTGATGTTATTGAATGTTTTGTTGATGAAAGGGGGAGATATACTCGTCATATGGGCTATGATTTTGAAGGCAAAGAAGTATTGGGAGAAGGAACACGAGCTGCTTTAGAGAAATTAAAGTGAGGATTTGAAGTTTTAAATTATTTTAATTTATTTTTGAGGAAAGACGTTCTGTTTGAATACGAGTATACCCATTCCTATCCTTATGATTGGCGTTATAATAAAGTAAGGGAGTTATATTTAATTACTGATTATTCTCTTTAAATTTTAGCCAGTTATTATTCGAAGTTGCCCTCAATGGTTTATGGATGTCTCTTTTTTAAATAAACGATGTGAAGAAGCAATTTATTCTTATCCTGGAATTAATGTTTCTGCTGGAAATGTTGGTAGGAATGTTTTATATAGACACTGTTTAAATTATCAAAAAAGATCTCAGAGCTGCATTTTCGACATTTTTTACTCGTCGAAATGAATGGTGTATTTCTAGACAACGTGCTTGGGGTGTTCCTATTCCAGCAATTACTCGTCAAGAAATGATTGGAGATGTTGAGGAAGTAAAAACAAGCGGGGAATTTATCCGTTCATATGCTCAATTAGTTAAAAGTAAAGCAAATACGGATTTGTGGTGGACTTTAACACTCGAAGAACTTTCTAGATTGAAGGTAGAAAAAGTCTTTTTATTTAATTAACTTCTACTAATAAAAAATTTCTTCTTCTTAAAGGGGTTTCCTTTTTCCTCCCTCAAAAATTTGCAAAAAAGAACAGAAGTAATGGATGTATGGATGGATAGTGGACTTACTTGGCATACATTAACGCCTAAAAAAATTGCTGATGTAGTAATTGAAGGCAAGGACCAATTTCGTGGATGGTTTCAATCATCTCTCATTACTTCTATGGCCCTTCAAGTGGGTTTTTATTATCATTTATTATTTTAAATATTTTTGTAGGATTCCGCCCCTTTTAAACGAATTCTTATTCATGGAATGGCTGTTGATGATAAAGGATCTAAAATGTCAAAATCTAAAGGAAATGTAGTTTTGCCTGAAGCTGTTAGTTATTAAATTATAATTTAATTATTTTAATCGCTATTAAGATTACCGATGGCACATTGGCTAGTGATCCAGTAGGTGCGGACGGTCTTCGTTATTGGGCTGCCTGGATGGGAGCTGATTCTGCTGGCGAAGTTCGAATTGGTCCAAGCATGGTTAGGGATTTACAGAGTCGATTAAAAGGAATTAGGCTGATTTTACGTTTTGTACTCGGAACTATGGAAACTGCCGAGAAGTTAAATTTGAATTATAATAAATTTGGAGGAAATATTAAAAATGAAAGGATGGATATACCTCAATTACAAATTATAGATCGGGTACATAAGTTGTATATTTTTTAATAAATTTTAATTTTTAGTATATTCTGGCTCGTTTAAATGATTTTTCTAAGTTGATTCGTTCTCGTTATAATGATTACAGATTTGGAAAATTAATGGAAGAGTATTTCCAATTTACACAAAAAGATGCCTCTTCCTATATTGTTAGCTTTTTAGAATTAAAAAAATACTTCTTAAATTAATTAATTAGACATCTGTTCGTGATCGTCTTTATTGTGAACCAATTAATTCAACATCACATCAAGCAGTTCTTTTTACATTAAACAAATTGGGGTATACACTTGTCCAGCTAATTGCTCCAATTTTGCCACATTTGGCTGCCGAATTCTTTACATATCACCCACAATTTAGTACTAACGTGGCCTCGGCATTCCGAGGAGTTTTTGACGTTGAAGAAGAGGAAAGTCAATTAAATAGAGCAATAGGTGATAAAGAAGACCTTTATGTATTAATGAGGATTGTTCAAGAATTACGGAATGAAGCTGTTGATTTAATTAATAAGGTGAAACAATATTAAAAAAAACAAATATTTTAACAGGAAATGAATGGAGATTTGCTACTTGAAAGGCACGTGGGCATATAGTGACGGACATGTCGGGATATTTCAATGTATGCCTACTGATTTCGGGACCTACGGCCACTGGGTTTTGGATATTGTCCTGTTAAGGAATAGAGTTATTATGTTTTAGAACAAATGTAAACACACAAGAAATTATTTTTGTCACTCCAATCCCGATATGTCCGTCCCAATATGTCCGCACACCATTTGAAATTTTGGATCCCTACTTTTTTATAACGCTCTCCCAATCTCAATTTCTTTTATTAAACGACCTTCTTTTTAATTATAAATTTTCAAATTTTAGGGAGAACATCCAAAATTAAAAACACGTCGAATAAAGGAAGTTGGCATTCGGCATTTTGGTTTATTAATTAGTGGAAATGCAGAACAATTGGCCCCATTACAAAAAGTATTTAAAGAAGATGAATTATATTCAGAAATTGTTGAACTTTTTGGTTCTTCTTTTGTTCGTCTATCAGAAAATAATTCATTAAATTTAAATATTCAATTACTTGATCCATTTAATGAAGGCTTAGATTGGTGTGGACGGTGCAGAAAAATAAATAATCGAATTGAAAGAGAAGAAGAAAAAAATTTGGAAAGAATTTTACAAAATAAAAAAGAAGAAGAAAAGGAGAATGCAACATTTAAATTAAATTTGAATTGTTCTCCACAATTATGTGAGAAATGTGAATATGCAAACCATATAATACTTGTTAGACAGGAAGAAGAGAACAAAAAAATACAAATAGAAGAAAAGGAACAGACGGTGCCAATTTCAGAATAATGCCGCCAACACAAACATCTTTAGAAAATATATAAATTAAAATATTAATTTATAAAAAGCAAGTAAAATAGGCTTTTCTTTGTTATTTTTCTATATTTTTGAGTATCCGTTTATTGTTGATTTTTGTTTTTTTCTACGAATAATTTAGTAGGTTATCTTGTAAAAATTTTATTTTTTGTTGTTTTAAAATGTTTATTTTTGCAAATAAATATGGAACTCATTAATTTAAATACAAATTTTAATTGAGATTGAGTTTTGAATTTTAATAAACTAGTTCTTAATCTACATACCGTAAATGCTCGAATAATTACCCTCTCTTTAATAATTACCCCCTCTTCTCTAATTTTAAAAATATTGAAAAATCATTGTCAATTTTAATTACTGAAACATAAGAATCAATATCAAAAAATAAATGGATTTCCTCCTAGATTTATTGAGATATACCTCAAATTTAGCACATCCTCTCGATTAATTACCCCCTCCAGCGAGGGGGTCGAAACAATAATTACCCCGGGTAATTATTCGAGCATATACGGTATACAAATAAAAATTTAAAAATTATTTATAAATAAATTCCTTATTAAAATATTTTTATCCTTTAATACACATTCCTTCAATAAATTTTTTCTTTAAAATATTTCAACTTTTTTGGTTTAACTTTTATTTATTTTTGTTCTCAATTGCCGGCTTATAATCAAAGAAAAAAAAGTCTCGAGGCTATTTTCTTCCACCAATTCAATCCACATCTTTTTATTCTGTCTTTTGTTGGTTGGCAAACTTTGTGCAAAAAGGAAAGTAATAAATTTTCTGCTTCAATAAAGGAAGCCGCTTCTCGAACCTTTTCCTTTTCTATATATACTCATTTCCCATTCCCATAGGATGTTACAACTGTGGAATGATAATAAAAGAGAAAAACCCGAAAATTGAAATATTAAACAGAAAACTAATAATAAAATTTCGAGTTGGTCCAAATTATATTTTAAATTACATTAATTATTTATGTAACACATTCTTTTTTATTGTTTCTTTTCTATTTGATTGTTTTTTTAATTTTTTATTTTCCATTTTAAAATTTAAATTAAAAATTTTTTTTCAATTTTACAAACATTAAATGTCTAGTTTTATATATATTTTTTTATTTCTTGGTTTTATCTCTTCAATTATTCTTCTTTTAATTCCTCTTAAATTATTTGCTTAAATATTTTTTCAAATTTAAAGCGTTGGATTAATAACGAATAGTCTACTAAACAATATTAAAACTTAAAAAAACATTTATGGATTTAATTTTGAATACATCATTTAAATAAATTAATTAATGTAAATTTATTTTTTATATTAAGAATATTTTAATACTTTTCTATAGAAATATTAAAAATTTAATTATTAAGAGAATATGGGTACTTTTTCGTTAATCGACCGCAAACTGAGTACCAGCCGACTTTTGAACAGCTATAACTTTTTGATTCTTGATCCAATACAAATGAATTTTATATCAATCGGAAGCCCTCGATAAGCTCTATATTTTACCCAACTGTATGGAACAGCTCTGATCACTCGTAAAATAGTTATAACCCGATAATAGTGAAAAACAACGATTTCTTGGACTTATTGACTTGTAACTTTTTATGGGTGATCAGAGCTGATCCATACATTTGTTAAAATATAGAGCTTATCGAGGGCTTTCGAATGATATAAAATTCATTTGTATTAGATCAAGAATCAAAAAGTTATAGCCGTTAAAAGTCGGCTGGTACTCAGTTTTCGGTCGATTAACGGAAAAGTTTAACTAAATTTAAATTAATTATTTAAACATTTATTAATTACCTAAATAATTTTACCCTCTTTTTTTTCTTTCCTCGCCCAACTATTAAAAAGCTGCAAATAAAAACTAAAATTTATTAAAGTACCTTCCCTTCCTCAAAGCAATTATCTTTTCTTCTTCTGCCAACTTTGTTTATTTCCAAAGGCTTATTATCCCAACAAGCTGTTTTTGATGATGTCTTTTACAAAAAATATTTTTTCTCCTTCCAATTCATTCATTTCCTTGTCAATTTTTTAATAAATGCTTTAACTTTTCTCTCATTTTATATTTTTATATAAGTAATTCTCTTATAACCCCCAAAGGATGTTTGATTTTAAAGTAAAAAATTTGGCAATATTTTTAATAAAAAATGTTTTTTTTGAGGCATTGAATGAATGATGTTTTAAAAGAATATTTATTTTTGTTGTTGTTTTTTTCCTAATTTTTCAAAAAATATTATTTCTAAAATATTTTTATGTCTTTTACAAAAAAATATATTTTATATAAGTAAAAAAAATATATTTTATTTTTTTTAAATCTAAAATATTTTTGATTATTTAAATTAAAAATTATCTTTCTTGCAATTTATGCCAGAATTTTACTTCTCCTTCCCTTCCTTTCTTTTTTGCCAACTAAAGGACACTTAATTTTCTGATTCATTTACAGGCCCTGTCCAATTTTCCCGAGTTCTATAAACCTGAAAAATTGGGGAAATATGAACCAGATTGTACAAAAAATACATGCATTGCTGGATATTAGGGTTTAATTCAAAAGACCGGGTTTGAATTTCTTTTAATTAATTAGACTTAATTTTATTAATTACTTATAAATCTTTTTACTGATAAAAATGTTAAAAATAAATTTTTTAATTAATTTCTATTAATCAAAGTATTATTTTTTTGTTTTAAAAGTTCTTCATTAACTTTGATTTTGATTTTATTATTTATATTGATTATTATTGTTTATTTTAAATAATTATTTTCTTTACTTTAAAAAATAATTTTAAATTTTATTTTTATTAATTAATTAAAAAATACAAAATTAAAAAAAAAGTTTTTTTAAAGTAAATTAGCTATGTTTTTATTCAAAAAATATTTTTTACAATTTTCTTTAAAAAACACTAGGTATGAAGGAAAATGAACAAAAAATATTAAATAAAAATGATGTACTTTAATTGTTTTTAAAATTATTATTTTTTTAGTAATTTGCGAATATAATCCTTCTATAAATTTTTAACTAAAAAACAACTTAAAGATATTTTTTCCAATTTTTTCTAAAATATATTATTAATATTTTCTCTTCTTTATTTTTGCAATGAAAAATAATGTTTATATTATTATTTGTATTAATTATCAACAAAATAATTTTTGTTGAAGGTAACAACGATAATTCTTTATTTCCACTTTTTGGGGCTATTTTTCTTCCTAATGATGTAGAAATTGAAAAAAATGAAAGAAAAGATGGTCGTTAAATTAATTTAAATTATTTTTTAAATTTAAAATAATTTTAGAAGTAATTGAAAGGCATTTAGCTACAATGCATTCTGTTGCCCCTATAATTGGTTAATTAATTAATTTAATTAATTTAAACATAAAAAATCAAAGATTTGGCTATTGAGGATGCTTATTTCCGTTTTTTATTAAAATGGACAAATAATCCAAAATGGCTTGTTATAGGCCAAACAAAGTCTATCCTTCAATGCCATGCGCAACGTCATGCAGCTTGGGCTGTATTAGAAGCTTTGCAATGGAATAATAATAAAGGGGTAAATTTTGGAGAAGAAAAAAAAGAATAAAAATAAATAATTAACAATTAATTTCAAATATTTTTTAAAGATTAATGTTGCTTTTGGTCCTGCTTGTGATTATTTAGTTGCTACAATTATGAGAATTCTTAGCTACAAAAAAATTCCCATAATTACAAATTCACATTCTAGGTTTTTACCAAAAATATATTAATTTATTTAAAAATTTATTTTTCTAGTGAATTTTTTAAAGAAGAGAAAAACACAACTTTAGTAACACAATTTGGGCCACTTCAAGTAATTTAAATATGGTTCGATATTGCGGGGCGGAGGCTGGGCTTATGGGGAACGGGGTTGCGGGGAATTCGAAGCGCTTTGGGTGGAGACCTCCCACGTCCCCGGGGAATTCCCTTCCCCGGGCACGGGGATGAACCCTAATTTAAATATAAAGTAAATAAAAAAATTAATTAGGATCACAGTATTCAATTAATTGAATTTTTCTTTCACCGAATGAATTGGTCACATTCTCGAGTATTTTATGAAAAGCAATTTTGGCAAAATGAATTACACGAAGCTGGTTCTTGTAGACTTTTTTCTTCTGTTAGATTTTTTTGAATTTTAATAATTTATTTATTTTAAAATACTTATGGATTGATTATTTAACTTTAATTATTTTTCGAAAGATATTTTTAAATTTTAATTAGAATTCTCTTTACTTTAATATTCGAATTATATTGATAACTTAGCTAATTTAAAATTAAAAAAATATTTTTTTTCAATCCAAAGGGTTTCTTCCTTCGAGCAAAAAAGAATAAATGGGGAGTCGAAGCCGATTTAATTGTATCCCCAACATCTACAGATTCTGCCTTTAATCGACAACAATATAAACAATTGTTGATTGAAAAGGCTGGCAATAATTATAGTGGTGGGTAAATATATATTTTTAATTATTGTTTTTTGTGTTTGTTAATTGTTTTTATGTATTTAGTTTTTTGTTGTTTAATGGTTGTTTAAATATTTTTTTAATTTTAAATTATTTTAAAATTTAATTTTTTATTTTTTTTTAAATATTTCTTTATTTTTTATCCACACATATTTTTCCTTCTTTTTATTGCCTAAAAATTGCTGTGGAAACAGTTTTGCTTTTAAGAGATTTAAAAAATAAAATGTGTGGTGACAAAGGATTATATATCAATGTAAATGTAGTAATATTACAAGGGGATATATTGCGCACGCGTTAAAAGACAAAATTTGTGTAAATTGAGAAGGGAAATAAATAAATTAATGTTTTTCTCTTTCTTTTATTTTATAATAATTTTTAAAGTTTATTTAAATAATTTTTTTTAAATAAAATACTTGGATAACAAACTTTATTTTTTTTAAATTTAATTTTAAGAAAATTAAATATTTTTATTAGAATTTTTTAATTTTTTGGGATCAATAATTTTTAAAAGTCTATTTTAGTGTCCATATTTA